AAGATGCGTATTATTGCATTTGTAGGCAGCCCAGTGGAGGACAACGAAAAAGAAGTGAGTTTGGTCCTGTTATATAAGTTGTTGTGTAAATATCTATCCCATGTTAAAGGAATCTGACATCAGTCAGTCTTTTCTGGGGTTACCATCATTGTGTTTCAGACCTGTTTCATGAGTTAATTTTTATTTTTTATGATTCTTGTGAAGCAGGTTAAAAAGTTCTGTCTGACTTTCATCTTTTCATTTTCATAGAATATTTATAAATAATTACTATCAAACACTGTATGAAAGTCCGGCAGTCATGCAAACTTTTTCAATCGACAATAACATATAACAATGAGGTAAAACTCTGTCAAATAATCTGAAATCAGAATCACAATAGATTTATATGAAATATGATGGCTTTTCGTGTTATTTAACTCTAGGACAATCAAACATGATTTATTTTAAGGTTTTCACATGTAGACGAAAACAGACATTGTTCTGTGGCCTGTGGAGAATGAAGTGCAGATAGAGGGTAAACATCCACACATGCTCACAAATTACTGCTTAAAATTGCTTGTATTAATGGAAAGATTTTATATATATATATATATTCAAAAATATTTATAGAGTGGGACATGGTGGTCACGGGGGAAACCTGCATCAGGGGACCCATGAACATGTGGACCCAGGGTGTTATACATCTGAAGATTTCTCTCCACTGCCACCTTTTAGTGGGAAAATTGCACGCTTTGTTTTTTTTGTGCATGAGGTCCTTATTTGGAGCTACTAATTAAAGCAAAACCGCATAACATTTGAACCAATTTTCAGCTTGATTTGAGATACATTAGAAGATTTTCAGGTCAATAAACAGCTATTGGTATAGTGAGATAAAAAAAAAAACGTTGGATCTGTCACTGATTGAGTCATGTGACCCAGAGAGTCGTTTTATAGCAGTCTGAGCATGGTTTTTGTTGTCTCATGTATGATTTAATCTAGAGGGGTGGATGTAGCCTAGTTTTTTCATGCAATCCATGACTCTGTGATCTGCTGATTCAAAGTGGCCTGCTATCAGAGTCCTAAAGGCAAAGGGAGACTGTTTCATTGAGCTATAATGCAGTGTTCCAGTTGTGTTCAGGGGTGTTAAACCTGATGGTCCAGGTCTAGCTCCCCTAGTGGCTAAAAGCAGTTTTACTTTAAACAGGTGTTTATTACTGAGGATCTACCTTCTACACAAGTTTTTTTTCTACATCTATCAGACTTTTATCTAAACAGTTCATGTTAAAGTGCTTTGTTTCTTGTAGCTGGTCAAAATGGCAAAGCGTTTGAAGAAAGAGAAGGTCAATGTGGACATCATTAACTTTGGAGAGGAGGTAAAGTAAAAGCATTTTCTGCCTCTTTTTATGCTGTTCTTCCTGTCAACTCTGTTGGACCCATCGCTCTTCATCAATCAATGCAGGAGATGAACACGGAGAAGCTAACAGCTTTCATCAACACACTTAACGGGAAAGAGGGAGCAGGCTCCCACCTGGTCACCGTACCTCCAGGGCCCAGCCTGGCAGATGCCCTGCTTTCCTCCCCCATCCTGGCAGGGGAAGGAGGCGCCGTGTTGGGTCTCGGTGCAAGCGACTTTGAGTTTGGGGTTGATCCCAGTGCAGACCCGGAGCTGGCCCTGGTATGACACAGTTTAGGAAGTATACAAAAACATGTCTCAGACTTATTCATATCAGGCATTTCTAAAGTGTCTTAAATCGTGCAGGCTCTTCGTGTCTCCATGGAGGAACAGAGACAAAGACAAGAGGATGAAGCTCGCAGAGCAGCTGTTGCATCAGCGGCTGAAGCCAACATTTCCTCCCCTGTAGCAGATGGTGAGAAAAGAACGTAGCGCTTCTATCGTAGATGCTGATTTCAGCTCGCATTCACTAAGTGCAACAAACAGGCATGAGATTTAAAGCAACAATGCATCTTTTCTGTCTGCTCCAGAGTCCGAGGATGCCCTGTTGAAGATGTCTGTTTCACATGCAGACTCAGCTGCACCTGCTCTGCCAGACTTCAGTCGCATGACGGAGGAGGAACAGATCGCCTATGCTCTGCAGATGTCCATGCAGGGAGCAGGAGAAGGTTCAGGAATACATTTTTGATTATATAGATCTACATATAAAAACATACATGTGGTTATCTTTATTATAAACGTTTATTTTTTAGCAGCAACAAGAAATTGTTTCTGAATTTCAGGTCTCAACTAAAGTTTACATACACCAATCTCAAGCGCTCTCCTTGATTATAAAACATAGAACTTCTCTTTGATCCACATTGGATCAAAATTGTAAATACAGACCGAAATAGAAACATACACCCTTCTCTATTTGAAAAAATGATTTGGTTTACCAAGTTGAATAATAATATAGAACTGTTTTCAGTTAATATTAGGTATTTTTGCCTGTTTAAAAAAATCTCTGCATCTCTCAGTAACATTTAGTATATGTGTTGTACAATCTTCCTTTTACATCCTGCAGAGTTTGTGGCTGAGGAGATGGACACAGGTGCTGATGTGGATTCCAGTGAGGCGAAGGTTGTTAGGAAGCTGCTTTGGTGTAGAATAAGTTCATCCATTTGTTTGGGAGAACACTTTGTCTTACAGCTTGGTGTTTTGTCTGCAGGATGAAGAGGACTATGATGTAATGCAGGATCCGGAGTTCCTGCAGAGCGTTTTAGAGAACCTCCCCGGGGTTGATCCCAACAATGAGGCCATCCGGAACGCCATGGGCTCTCTGGCTTCCCAAACAGGCTCCAAATCTGACACCAAGAAGGATGAGGAGAAAAAGAAATGAGCTGTAGAATATAAAGGAGTTACTATACTGTGTGACAAGACATCCGAAAGTTGCTCTGCATGATTTCCAATTATATTGCGTGTCAACCCAGCCTTTTTTTTTTCTTTGTATAAAATATTAAGTCTTCATCTTTTCTGTTTCTAGTTCTGATTTTCATCTAATTTGTTTTTGTTTTTCCTTTTTGTAATAAACCTCCTCACTTACATAAACCAGTTCTTTAATAAATTTACAGAACAGAGCATAGGAGTACCTTGTGGTTACTTGAACCCCAATTGTTTTTTAGAGCTGGACCAACTTTATTGTACTTCATATGTATTTTGTATGTACTGAGTGTACAAAACAAACTTTTGTTGCATACAGCTTACATCAGTGTGATGATTGCAGTTGGAGTAGATAAGCTAGTAGTGATCAGAATGTCAAAAATGTAGGAGAAAAAATAAACCAGTTTAAAATGGTGCAAAAAGGGCATTAATATGAAAACGTTCAGTGCAGTGCAAAGATAAATATGGTGCAAAATGCAGTAGAACCTCTGAGTTGAGTCCTATTTAAAAGGATTATAAAGTTCAGCAAAATTGTTAGTGCAAAATTATGTGATGTAGAGTTAAGCAGTTCAACAGTCTGGTGAAATCGGGGGGGGGAAATCTGTTGCAGAACCTGCTGGACCTGCAGCAAATGCTGCGAAGCCTCCTTCCAGAGGGCAGCAGGGAGAAAAGTCTGTGATCCAAATCTTCACCAGCAAGGTAAACTGCATGAATTGGATCTTTTTAGATTTTTTTTTCCCCTGGACAAATTCACATATGTAATTATGTCACCACAGAAAGGGTTGATAAAGGAGTAGGCAGTGAGATGGGACACAGATGGGGTTCCTGGTTGTATTGAAGGAAGATGATGCTGAGGATTCTGCTCTGGTAACCCTGTGTAGTGGACTGGGGACATAAGAAATGATTAACAAACACATTGCTGATAGGCAGTAACTCAAATCTTGGGGAAAAACTGGGAATGCCTTCAAACTAAGCTTTGGTATCTTGATCAATCAAATCTGTTTCGGGGGAGGAAAATGATTCAGCTGATCATATGTCCCTTTAATGCAGAGTATAAAAACTTACATCCACTATATAATGCATTCAGGGGGTTTTATATAAATGCAATGCCAATTGTGGTGTGATATAGTATATATGTGTAGATTGGTCAGATAATAAAAAAAGCAAAACTTGATTTATCATTGTAATCCATTAGTGCTTTATAATTTAAAGGCTTCGACTGGTGTATGGTAAATAGTCAAAAAAATATGGGAAGCATTAAAGATTATCAGCCAATTTTTCCAGTGTCCTGTTTCTCTGACTGTGACTGGCTGGATGTGCTCTCTTCATCCTCTAACATGAGAGCTGGCTCGGTGCTCGTCTGCCTGGCTGGGTGTTTTCTTGACGGGGCCGCCTTTTACAGCTGCTTTTTGCATCTCTGCTTCTGTCTCCTTGAAGCCCAGTTGGCATCAGCAGATGGCCACTCACACTGAGCCTGGTTCTGTTGGAGGTTTCTTCTGTTCAAAGGGAGTTTTTCCTCTCCACTGTCACTAGCATGCTTAGTGTGAGGGATTGCTGAAGAGCCAATGAGTCCATGCAATCAACTGGTTTTCCTTATAGAGAAAAGCTAGAATCAATTTGACTGTATGATGTGGTGAACTTTAAAGTGCCTTGAGGTGACATGAGTTGTGAATTGGGGCTTTAGAAATAAACTGAATTGAATTGAAGATAGCAACTTAAAGTTGCATAGTTACAAATGTAATTATAAGTGAAATCATTAGGTAACAACAGATACAAAATACTACTGATATTATTAAAAAAATTATCTAATCTACAAAAAATAACCAAATCCACAATTATAAATGATAATTCTTTTTCAAGTACAAATAATTATTGCCTCATGTTTAACCCTTTTTGAGCAAACATTGTTTCTCTTTAAATCCTAGAGTAACTAAAAAGCTAAGGTACCGTTTTAGTATATTGTATGTAAAAGTGAAATAAGATTTTAATTATTTTTGTGTTTTTATGTGTAAAGACTTGTGTTTGAATGATCTAAGACCTGTTGGAAAACATTGAAACAATTATTAAAGTACTTCCCTGCTCAATAGTACTTAATATTATCTCTTTCTATAAAAAATAAACTAAATTAAACTAAATTTTGGCGAAATTCAGAGCTCCATTCCGAGTCTGCGGTAGTGAGGACTGTGAAGCTGAGCGCGTGAGCGGAGCGTCGCAGAGTTTTTGACGGAAAACTGATGGGACCAACAGGAAAAGTCAGGAACCAACTTCGCAAACAGTCAGGTAGCATAAACATCTCTCACATACGCGTTCAAATAAGCACAGCGTGCATTTATGTAGATTATATTAAACCGTTGCTAACCGAGTGCTTAACTCGATAAATTAAAGCGTTTTAACTGCCTCGGGGGCGTTAGCATGGGATGCTAACAGTTAGCGGCTAACGCTGCTAGCTCCAACTTGTTGCAGCTAAAGTTTGACAGCTCTGTTTCTCTGAATTTGATTTGTCGTCGTTGCTGTTTTTTTCTTGGATACGTTTTAAATACGCATGCAAATGCTTTGCACGTTGTTTTTGATAAATGAATTTATTTAATTCACCAGCTTCTCGGTTAAAACTCATGAACTCGCGACTGTTAGCTGAGCTGTAGCGCAGTTCCCGCTGCTATCACTGACTTAGCTGCTACCTCTGCAGGTTTTGGGGCTCATTGGCGATGGGGGACATGAAGACCCCTGATTTTGATGACTTGCTAGCGGCTTTTGACATGCCAGACATTGACGCACAGGAGGCTATTCAGTCCAATCCAGCCGAGCAGCGCGATGGAGGGGTTACTAATGCGCCCGGAGGAAGCAAGAAAGGGACTGCCTCATGCTTCCCCAACTCTGAACCGCCTGTGGTCAGCGTCATTGTAAAGAACACGGTTCGGTCTGAGTCTACTGAGGAGAAGGAAGACGAGGAGAGGCCTGCCAGGGATAAAACTGATAATCCTCCAAGCAGTGTCTCAGCCTCTCAGGTTCCAGTCAAGTTAGAGGATTTCACTTCAGAGCTGGAACACAAACTGCCTGCCAACACTGCTGCCATGGAGCCTCAGATTACCAATGGCTTTGAGGAAGCTGATCCAACCGATCCAGGACAGGCCAACACAGAACCATGGTCTAAGCCTCCTTCTTTCAGCTCCACACTGAGTGATAATGAGGTCGATGCAGGACCTGAACCTACCACTGATGTTATTGACAGTTTGTCACCTCTTCTGTACCCGCAGACCACCTCCGCAGGTGGTACCACCAGATCATCTCCTCGGTCCCCACCTTCCTTAACCCCACGCTCTTCTCAGCCGGAGAAACCTGCAAATACTTTCTCTCCTCCTGCATTACACGAAAATGGAAGACTGACAGATGAGACGAAATGTGTCGTGGACTCTGAAGACGAGTCAGATCCTGACTTTGGGAGCCCACTGGTGATTCAGGAGAGCCCAGAATCGATGATGTTCTCTCCTCCAAAACGCAGGCGGCGAGAGAAAGTACATCCTGATCTTCCTCAGATGCAAAAAAACGCATCTTCTCTTTTCCCTCAACCTCCTAATCTCTCTGCAAAGCCTAAATCCCCAAAAGAGGAGAATGAACAGCCCGACTCTCCCCTCACACCTCCACAACCCCTCCCTTCGATCGCTGGGGTTAAAGAGGAGAAATATCCAGAGCATGTGATCGACGAGAGAGACTCTCCTGAAAGCCCCCCACCGAGTGAAACAGGGGTTCTGTTGAACAGAAACGGCAGCCCCGACGTGGGTTCAACTAAATGCCCAGACCTGAATCAGGATGCGCCCCCACAGAACAGGAACGAACCAGCTAAAACTGAGCACAGCGAAGAGGAAAAATCAGAGGAAGCTGAAAATCTGATTGAAAAGAGGACAGCAGATGAAGAAAAATCAGAAGAGGGTCGCCACACGGCTGGCGAGAACGCAGAGACGCCCTCTCCTCTGAGACCACTTAAAGTTAAAATCAAAATGCCAACCGGCAGCATCACGAGGACAGTTACTAATCTGACTCCGAAAAGAGTCACAAAAGCCTCCGTTAAGGATGCAGAGAGCTCTAAACCGTCACCAGAAAGCCAAACTGTAAAATCCAAAAAGAAGTTGGCACAGCAGGTGGAGTCGCCTGCAACTGCATTAAGAGATGGTGTTAGTACGGTGAAGGAGAGGAAGCAGCGAGTGTCCCCTACGGCTGTGAGCATCACAAAAACCACAACGCTGCCGCCCGTCTCTTCCTCCTCCATCTCCAGGGACAACCCAGGGGCCATCAACCTCCGCAGCCTTGGGAAAAAAACTCTCAACAGTGGGGTCCCCCTGCCAACGCCTCTGGCTCCTCAAACCAGCAACAGACCGGCATCTATAGTCAACAGCACGGGGGCGATCATTTCGAAGAGTCAGACCAACCTGGTGGAAGCCTTCAACAAAATCCTCAATAACAAAAACCTCCTCCCCTGTTATAAACCAGACCTTAGCACCCCAGTCCCGGCAGAATGGGGCATTTCTCTTCCTGCACAGGTGAGATTTCACACACTCACAGGCAGCAAAGATAATAAAAAAAATGTTTGTTTTCTTCCGTAACTTGCTTCTATCTGAATAATACAAAATGTGAAAAAGTTTGAAGGATCTTAATGATTTTTAACGGGCTCGTGTATAGCAGTGACTGGGTCTCATTTCTGTGACAATTTATCTTTAGCTGAAATGTCAACATAAAAATCCTCCAAATCCACATCAGATTTCCAGTTCTCATGTCTCACGCAGGGTTACCGCTGTCTAGAGTGTGGTGACGCCTTCGCCCTGGAGCACAGCTTGGCGCAGCACTATGACAGGCGCTCGCTCAGGATTGAGGTGACATGCAATCATTGCGCCAAGCGGCTGGCCTTCTTCAACAAGTGCAGCTTGCTCCTGCACGCCCGAGAGCACAAAGAGAAAGGCCTGATCATGCAGTGCTCACATCTGGTCATGAAACCTGTACCTGTAGAGCAGATGATCAGTCAGCCTGAACCGACAGCTGCAGCAGGGGGTGAGATGAGAACGGTGTCCTTTTTAAATAATTAAAAAAAATTACTTTCAAGTCTGTTTTCTTTAGCTTTACTATCTCTTCTTTTTCAGGCCAGGTCACTTTGAAGCTGTCGCATCAAGCTGTACCTTCCAGTAAAGAGACGGAGACGCAGCAGTCTGCAAATGCTAAATGCTCAGAGTGTCAGGCTCAGTTTGGCAGCAAGGAGGAGATCGCTGATCATTTTCAGGAGATCAAGCCTGCTAAAAGCACTGTAAGAAATATTTTAAAGTTAAAATCTTAATGAAAAACGCAGTTTAGTAGAAATACCAATGCTGCTCATCTCCCTGAGCATCCGGCCTCACGGAGAAACATGCTGGTGCCAGCAGAAGCCCTTGGGACGTTTTTCTTCAAAAAAAAAAATGATAGAAGCCATGAATCTTTTAATTTTATATTTTTTCATAATTACAAACTGCTGTTTCGATCTGTCCCCAAAAAAGCAACAAAAAGCGTATCTATATGATGGTTTTCTTGCCTTCCCTCCTGCTACCTGTAGTCCTGCACAGAGTGCTCTCCTCCCATGCTGCTGCCCAACAGCTGCAGTGCAGCAGCACATCAGCGGATCCACCAAAGCTCTCCGCCGTATGTCTGCCCAGAGTGTGGGGTCACCATCAAGCAGCAGCTGCTTCAAAAACATCTACAAGAGACCTGCTTGCACTTTTCCCGGCGCATTGGCTACAGGTAACATCGCTTAAGTACTACATATGTATAAGGAGTTTAGGTTTGAGTGATTTTACAGGTATATTTTTTTTGCTGATGAAGTCCTATTTCTGCTCTTCTACAATCATGTTCCCCACAGATGCTCCAGTTGTCTGGTGGTGTTTGGGGGGCTGAACTCTGTGAAGTCCCACATCCAGTCCGCTCATTGTGACATGTTCCACAAGTGCCCCAGATGCCCCATGGCCTTCAAATCTGCCCCCAGCATCCAGACCCACCTCTCATCTCAACATGCGGACCTCACTAACATCAAGGCCATGTAATAACTTCCGTTCATGTTTTATTAGCATCCTGATCAGCCTTCCTCTTTATTCCTTGAAGTGACTCAAGCTGTTTCGTCCCCTTTTTCTTACAGGCTGATTTATAAATGCGTCATGTGTGACACTGTTTACACTCACAAGCCGCTGCTGTACTCTCACTTTGACACTCACTTAACCAATCAGAAAGTGCACGTCTTCAAATGCCCTGAGTGCACAAAGCTGTTTTCTCAGAGGAATTCATTGCTGGATCATTTCAAGGTATATTTTCAATGTGTGTTTAAGGTAGGTTTCCAAATATTTCCTGACTGATGTTTCATTTTTCACCCTCTTGCTACTTTAGACCCACAAAACTTCCACGTTAAAAGAAGAGCTGCATTCATCTCAGACCGCTGCCCCACATTTACCTGGGAAACCGGAAGGCTCACAGGAATGGATAGATAAAGACAAAGTGAAAACTGAAAGGATGAAAGCCCCTTCAGTGTGGAAATGCCGTTCTTGCAACTTGCAGTACACAGAGCGGGAGGAATACATTGCTCATATGGGTGAACTGCACGGCAAGGTCAGGAAGGCATTGGGGCTTCGTCTGCTTTATTTTGGGTATTGAATTAAAGCCAGAAATAAACAAGCCTTTTTTTTTTTTTAGTTCCTGAAGAAATTTCCCTGCAACAAATGTGAGAGCTCCTTCACAACCACGTCCAGTATGAGGCGCCACATCAGAGATAAGCACAAAGTCATGAACCGAGGCTTCCGTTGCCAGTAAGTCTGCAGCTCGATATGATTTACTTCTCCCCGGTTCCTTTTCTTCATTTGATATTCTTTTTTTTTGGATTAATTTTTCTGGTTTCAAACTGCTTAAAACAGCTGGATAAATTGAATTGGAAGATGTGAAGTTTTGTTGAATACAAAAATATTTGCTGAATGAGGGCCAAGGTTCTAGAGAAATTTCCATGAGGGTGAGACTTCAGAAAATAAATTGCATCATCCTACAGCTGAATCTTAACAAATATTTTTAGTAATTTATAATAAAATATTGAAACTCTTAATGAATAAGAAAAAATCATGATAATAGAGGCAATTCATCTATCTAAATCTCTAACTAGGCCTGCCCTGTTTTAATTTTTTTTCCTGCAAATACCTCATGATTGTAACAGAAATGCAGAATCCCAGAGCTGTTTTAGATGCATTTTCCAAACTAATGTCATATTCAGTCTCACTGCAGCCTGTGCTGGGCGCTGATGGCTGCTTAAGATGCTAAAGGTCACTGATAGAGACAAGATGAGTGAGAAGAGGAGGGAATAAAATGTTATCACAGCTGATATTTAAACTTGACAGATAATGATGTGGAACATTTACTAAAATGATTTCGACAAGTTCGGCTCATACTTTTCTTTTCTTAAGAATTACCTTCATTTAAAACATTAGTATTTAAACTAAAAGTATGAATAAACGAGTTTGTGTGATTTTTAGATATTGTTCTGAGAGTAAGAAAACCTTCAGCAGCAGATCGATGTTGGAGCGGCACATGCAGATGAGGCACAGCATGACCAGCCCGGGTCAGGACTCCCTCATGGTGAGCTGCTTTTATTGCTGGACTAACAGAAAGGCAAAGCTGCAGGTATTTAGATGGTAAACATGAAATATTCACATCTTTTCTGCACACAGGAAGCTGACGGAGCTGACAGCTCTTCAGAGCAGGACAGCATTCTGGTGTCCCGCAGGAGACGAAGAGCAGCTGTGAAGATGGAGCAGGAAGCAGAGGCGACTGACACCTCAAGCCCCGTGAAGAAACTCCGATCCTCCACCTCTGCTCCAGCGTCTTACACTCAGCCTGAGTCCGGGTTCAGCTGCGCTCCATGCGGCTTCACCACGGAGGACAAGCCAACGTTCTTGGAACACATCAGCCAGCATAGGCGAGGGGGGGCGGAGGGCGGCGGCCTACAGTGTCTGCAGTGCGGAGCCTGCTTCACTTCTCCGTCCTCCCTGTCCCGCCACCGCTTCATCATTCACAAAGTCAAAGATGCTTGCAGCGACAGCCAGCAAACCTCCAGTGTGTCTCCATCGCCCTCTGCTGGAAACAAGAACCATGACGACCGGAGCTCTGTGAAATGTTCAGAACCAGCTTCACCCTCCGGTCAACCTTTAGCAGGTCAGGGGAAGGAGGAGGACGAACCTCTGGCCTGTAAGGTTTGTGGTAGACACTTTGAAAAATCAACAGATCTCAACACACACTTCAGAACTCATGGGATGGCTTTTATTATCGCAAGGAATGCAGGGAAGACCACCTAGAATGGGTAACAGAAAAGAAACGGCTGATTTGTCTGTGCCTTTTTAATTCTGTCATGCATGTGAGGGGGGGCTGCAACTATGCACTAAATCAACCAAAGATTGTTCTTTTAAAGTTTATATAACTGCTGTTTGTGAAAAGCCTTAATTAACCCTCTGATTCTCAGGATCTGCTGCTTACTTTCACTGTTTTGTGGCGATACTGATCCGATAGAACCGCCTGCTCAGTGCTGTGACCGTGTTTACATGAATTATGTGCCTGCAGAAAACTGTTGCATCAACTCAGTCATGCTGTGATCATAGAAACAGTTTCATACGTTTGTTGATACGGAGTTGAATTTTAAGTAGATGAATCAGCAGGCCTTCTCTAAAATGTGTAACTTAACAATCACTGCAGCTGTTTGACTTCTGTTCTAAGTGTTTTATTTCTAACTGGTTTATCTTTCATGGAGTATTAAAGCAGGTTTCTACTTATTTTCAATTCCAAAACTCCAAAATGTCTGTCTTCTATATTTCTCTGACCGTTTGTTACCTTTTGCTTGTTTAAATAGAAAATGTTAAACTGTTTAATTAGCTGTATATCCCATAAATCATGAAACAACACTTTTCTGAGGTTATTTTCTGTAACAAAAGGCTTTTTTTTTTTTTTTTTACTTTATTTGGAATTTAACCTTTATTTCCAAATGTATATATGTTTACATGTCAATTCAGATTGGATTATATTACACTAGATTATTTTAAAGAGTTTTGTAATCTTTTTCCACAGAAATGTGTCAATGTCCTCTTTCAAACTCAAATCAGAGGTTCGAGGGGCCAAAATAGCAGTGAGGCTGCACGTCAATATGGTTTTGTTAAAAGGTTTTGAAGGTCAAAAATTTTGAATGAAAAGTTAAGTTCTGCTCTGGCAAATCACAGATGAAAATATCTACAGAAACAAAAATGTTTGGAAAATCTACTGTATAGATGAACTGTGACGTACAAGATCAAAACTAATTTATATTTTAAATTTTCATATTGAATTTTTTTTTTTTTATCTAACAACAGTTAGGGTCCACAAATAGTTTGACTGATCTACTGTATCTATGAAAACCTGAATTGAATGTACTTTCTGTAAAATTAACTGTCCTCTCATTGGCTGAAAAATTAAACGAACATTTGATACTCAAGTAAATACTTCTATGAATTTTGCTTTACAGCACTGGAAGCCAAGAATACATGTAACTTTTTTCTTTTTATCCTTTTCTTAGCCAATAGCATGTTGAGGACTGTTCTTTAGTTCTGTGTTAAACATTAAAATAATTCTTGAGCAACTGATGGATGTCATCAGTGTGTGAAATCACATAAAACAGGATTTCTGAATAGAAACCTTGGCTTGGCCATCTTGTCTGACTGCCATAACCACGACCACCATTAACAGATTTCAGTTTTTGTTTTCCATAATTTAGTGAATCAGTCTGGTTTCTGTTTATGTTCTTGGGATATTTACTCTGCTTCAAACCTACTCCTCAGTGTGATTTTTGTATTTACATCACTAAAATACTTTCTAATTTAAACATTATTGCTTAAAAATAAAAACTGTCTTCAGTTAAATTTTGTTCTATTTTTTTGAGTTAACAAGTGACCTTTATTGAATGTTATCCTTTACCTTTTACTATTTACTTTATGTACAATTTCCTAAACAAAATATCAAGTTACATCAAATATTCCCTTCCAATCTAATAAATATACTCTTAAGAATATACATTTGATGAAATATTTCATACTTCATAGCTAATACACTGCTTAGCTGATAAAACCCACTATAACCACACCATTAAATTCACAAAGCCAAAAGATACTAATCTTAAATATAAACAAGAACAATCTAGAAGAATCAGAGAGCAGAGGGTTTTGGTTAGGATAAATTTGATGCAATAGAAAGAAACCGAAAAGACTTCATGAATATGGAGTTTTCCTGTAGATCCATTCCAGACAGAGCATTCATTTTAACAAAATAACCTCTTACAATAAACATATATTTGAAGCTCAGTTATAACCATTAAACAGTTTACAAAGTCATTTTGTGAGAAGCATTTAAAACCCAGCTCTAAAATCACACAGTATAAATAATCCAAGACTTAACTACAGTCGACACACATTAAATAGTGAAAAAGTGCTTCGTGAGGATGACTCCTGTTTCTGCACCAGGATGGAACAGACCCGTCTTTAAAGCAGAAGGAATCCAAAAAGGAGAACCAGAATAGGCTTCATGAAGGTGGAGATTCCTTCCAGGTTCAGCATAGGAGCTCCTGGAGAGAGGGATGAAATATGATGGAAATGCAAAGATGACCTTTACAGCTGAAATATTTATAAATCTTAATATGAATCTGCATCAGTCCTGTCACAGTTTAAGTTTGTTTTAATGTTAATGTTTATCTTAGTGCTCAATTCAGGCTTAAAGATTTATCTTAGGTAAAGTGAATGTTTTTGACCAGAAATATTTCAGTAATCATAACCAAACAATACGATGTTTACACAAATTAATTAGTACAAGTGGAAATCAGTTCTTCTTCCCTTAAATATAATTTGGTTTATTTAGGCTAACATGGCCAGTGCCAACTAATGATTCAGGTCTCTTTTATTGGTACCAAACAATGACAAATGTATGTTTTTAAATATCTAGTATACCCCATTTTAAATATACATTAAATATGCTAACCGGAGAATTAAAAAACAAAAACATAAGACCATGTAGAAAAACAATAAGTAGAATAAAATATTCAAAACAAAGCTTTAAAAAAAAAAAAAAAACAACTCAAAAGGAACAAAAAAGAAGGTAAAAATTAGCTTTCTAAAACTTAAGTTTAACTGAGGACAATGTCAGCAGTAATAAAGAATAGTATCCAATGTCAGGAATAGTTTTTATTTAACAGATATAATCCATGAATTAATTACTTTTTTTGAGAGTTCGTGTGAGCAAAGCTACTTTATAAAAAAGAGTTAACTACAAATGACCTGTATGTTTTTTTTATTTTATTTTAATCAATAATCTGAACATTTGAAATGTCTTTTAGAATGTGAAGGTATGTTGTTGATCATTGGATCATAACATAATTCAGACAAAAATAGAACAGGGCTACATTTTAGGATAATTCAGTCGTAAACTTTCTTACCGGACTCTGTCGACTGAGACTGTTTCCCCTCCTCGCTCTCACCGGTGCGCACCTTCTCAAGAACACTCAATTGTTCCTCTGTTAGCACTTCTCGCTGTTCACTGGTCACCATGGCAGCATTGTCGGGACCGAGAGCCAACATCTGAACAACGGAGAGAGCCTGAAGGAGAAACGGAAACATTTATGTTGATTCTTTATTAATGAAAAATTATTAAGATTTGGAGCCAAGAATAAGATGGTAAATGTACTTTTTACAAAGTAAAAAATATATTTTTTTGTTTGGTTAACTTGACGTACCTAACTGACTTTATGATTCTGAAGTTTCCAGATTTGAAAGTTTTATTTCATTTTGCCTGAAGTTTAAAAAACCACTGAATGCGTGCATTACTGAGTGTTCTTTACTTCAAATGGGTAAAACCTTTTACACAGAGCCGCTCTAAAATCCACATATACTATGTGGATTTTGGCAGCACTTTTGGTCCTCCTAATTATATAAGATACTATGCTTGAGCAGTCAACACACAGCTGGGGCTGGACTTTATGTGGGCAAAAATCTGATCAGATGAAGCTACTTACAGCAAAGTTTTCAGGAGGAATTTGGGAAATGCTGCTCTTGCTGATGAAGGGGAAGACAGAGGGGCTCAGGGAAGCCATTTCGGTATTATTCAAACCAGCTGGAGACAAACCAACAAGGAACAATTACAATTGTTCAGACATTAAGATTTTTAGTCCGTGGACAAGCTAATCCTACCAATGATGTTGTTCAGGTCAGAAACTTGAGCCTCGGTCCAGTTGCAGGGATCTCCAAATGCAGATATAGCAACATTTTTTAGCTCCTGTAATACCTTGACAGGACAGTGAGGAGCATCCAGGGAGCCCACTGCATCACTGTGATAAAACCCCAACATTAAAATAGCCTTAATCCACAGCCAGCAACAAGAGAGACAGTTTTTCATCTCATATGAAAAAAGCAGGCATGAAAAAATGAGAACATATTGATACTAAAGTTGTTTTTCAATATTTTTTTTTATAAAATCCCTCTTTCACCTCAGTCACTCATCTCAGAACTGGAATTTTACCCATTTTTATTCGTCAAATACTTTAGCGTCTGAATGAAAAATATCTGTAGATATCAATTGTAAAATATTGTCCCACAGAACAAAAACAAAGATTGATGACACATACCTAAAGGCCGCCACACTGAGCTGACTGATTTCCTTGGAGCTCAGACCACATATGAAGCGGCTCAGCTGAACCATCTCTGCTGATCCCAGCAGCTTTGCAGTCAGATTGTTGTATTCAGCAACAGCCTTCCAAACGGAAGCTAACTGCTGAGACAAAAGTTGTGTTGTGGTTAATACTGATCTACTATTTGCAGTCAAGCAGAGCGATTTCTATAATTCACCTGTGAGTCTCTCCAACCACAGGCGCCAATTTCATCCAGGCTGTCCAGGGAAAATGGAAGCTTTTCCAGTTCAGAGTTGGAGAAGCCTTGAGTAATACAGCCCAGCTGAACGATAACATCTTCAGTCATGTTTGCTACTGGGCCAAAAACCTACAGTAAAAAAAACGAAAGTTTATTTGAGTACAGTGAGTAAGATTTATTTCTTTATTTTAACAAGTAAAGAATTAAAACTGATGACATTTAGAATTCTTCATATTAATTTAGATATTGTGCTGTTTGTGCTGTTTCTGGGTCAATGATAAGCTTTAATATTTCAACTGGTAAAAATGTTAGAGATGCATTGTGTTCATTTTCTAAATGCAGGAAGTCTTGAATAAAAATGAAAGAAGACAGAAAAACTCCTAATTAAATCACTGAACCATCCCCAGAGATCAATTTGATGACTGTACCTCAACTGCTTTTCTATAGAGCCTGTCCAGCTGGTCGGAGCTGTAACCAGGGACCGACCCGAGCGTTTCCACAGTAGCCAGGAATGTGCTGTTTGACAGCAGTTCCAGATTTGCTGCCGTCCAGAAAACATTGTCCAGGCCCAGCTCTTCAACAAATGCTACTGTAGGTTCTGTACCGTTGCTGGAGAGATCTTCAATAGCTGAGAAAAACAAAAAAGGAGCATTCAGTAAGAAACAAATTAATTTTTGTTATTGCCTGAATTTTTTCATTAGCAATATTTCTCCCAGAGTCCTTTTCATGAGGGAGTCAGAGATGTTTATGTCAAAAACAGGAATCACATAAACTGTGGATTCTTGAAATATAAAACATACCAAAATGCTTGGTAAAAATACATATGTTAAGGAAGTTCAATTTAAGCTAAAGCTTTTGCTTTCATATGTTTAACTGGAAAAAGATTTTAATATTAACCTCTTTGGCAATTAAAAAAAAATTGCCAGAAGGTTTAGGCTCCTTCTTGTTCTAATGTTTAGAAACAAAACAGTTTAGCAGGTTTTATATCCTTTTAAAAATGGTTATCTCCAAGGATTTTGAATTTAAACACTAAATATTTTATGATACCGGTAATTAAAAACTAGGTAGGGTATTATTAAATATCTTAAAAAAAAAAAAAAAAAGACCAAACAAAAATATTTAGGCATATAAACATACTTAGGAAACATTGAACTCATATGTATTTTATAGCAGTATGGATGATAAACTAAAACAAAGCAATAAACTAGCTGGCTGAGAGGAAAAATGAAAAAAGAGTGAAAGTGCACAGAGAATCCCGCCCAGTGGTACACCACTCTAATAAGACAGACAGCGAAGGAAGAGGTTTAAATTTTAAAAATTGAAGGCAGCGCTTTCATGGAAGACAGTGGTTCTCCACCGTGCTCTTCAGGGATCACTGTCCCTCGTGTTTTAAACGTATCTCATTTGTGTTACCTTCCCTTAGAGCCAAATAAATAAACTAAATAATTCTTTAGAAATTAAATCTCTCAATATTCCAGCAAATTCAGATGTGAGTAATCAGCAGGAGCTGCAGTTTCTATGAAAGCTCCGAATAAAACTGCAAAAAATGTCTTCTGTCAGTCAGAACCTGAAAACATTAGTTCCTCACCTGCTCGCCTTTTACGTGCTACGTTTGATGCAGTGATGTCGGTGGTGAGGTCAAAGATCTTCTTTCTCAGTGCATCTGAGATTTGGGTAAGGCGTGGCTTCAGGTAAATAAGGACATCCTTCATCCAAGGCTAAAAAGGCACATAAGAAAAGAAAATGTTCATATTACTTTTTAGTGACGTAAAGTAAAAACGGTGTAAAGAAAAGCAGCATACACACTTTATTAGGCAAAGAGGAGGTGGCATTGTCATCCATCAGAATAAGCGGACCCAGTGATTCCATGGTCTCAGCTGGCCAATCAGAGGGACTCCTGCAGGAAAGAAATGTTCGTTCATTAGATGTTACCTCCCCTGAAGCAGTTCCAGCATTCACTGAGAGCTGCACCCACCCAAACACCTGGTTGACCAGTTGGATCAGATCGGTCCAGTGAGGCTGAGGAATGTGTTCGCAGGAAGCCATGGCCTGGAGGCTGAACTTCAACACTTCAGGGGCCATAAGGCGAAGTGTGGAGGGTTTCATCTCGCACAGGAGCGGGCCAAGCCTTGGTACATCTGGACTGGTCAACCCAGAGATATTCTTCCCCTAAACAACTCACAGGAAGCTGTCATTAAGTGATCTTAATCTTAATTACTCCAGCAAAAATAATTTTTAAAATCTTCAATCCATTCCAAATACCCCATCCAGATTTTAGTCTTAATCAATGTTTTTTTTTTTTTTTTAATACGTGCATATATATATATATATATATATATATATATATATATATATATATATATATATATATATATATATATATATATATACATTGAGCAGGCAACGCAGAGCTCTCTCGGTGAGTGCAGGACGTGATGGGGCACGAGGAGGCAGGGAGGTCAGGTCGGCCATTTCCATCTTTCCGAGGAAGACCGGGCACAAAGTCTGAGGTAATTCCTTTATTTTTGAAGGTCTGGCATGAATGAAACAGAGAATATATCATATAAATAAACAAAAGCTTTTACATTGATCAGAGTATAATTGTGTGCTTGTCTCCTCACAGCAGATGAATCAGTAGCACAGTGGGAATCCTTTCCAGCTCCAGCACAGTGATATTCTTGAAATAATCTGGCCTCTCCTTCTCCAAAGTATTAAAAACCTTCCATGCTGCACACTGTGCCTGAACAGTCAATAGGTGCACTGTCATTAGATATACCTGATGATGTATGCTTGTTTAAGATTATGAAGACCCCTTGGGTAGCAATCATGTACCTGGAATTTGGAAAGCCACTGTGGAGTCTCTGTTATGGACTGAGCCATATCCAGGACATAGCTGTCATTTACTTGATCAATCATGTTGCAGGTTATGCCCTGGAAGACAGAATTCAGCCTCCTATCACAGAAACAAAAAGAATAAATAAAAAACTGAGTGTAATGAGTGACATAGGAGAATATATGACCACAACTGCAAAGAATCCAACACAGATCAGAAGTCAGGCTTTGGATGGTGATTAGCATTAATGCATTTTAATATTAAAATCTTCCCAAAAACAGAATTCTATTTCTAAAACTAAAAACTACGTAATTTTGTTGCCATTACCTGTAGTGGAGCTGCTTTTGGTCATGCATCTTCTTTGCCAAATAGGCAGCCTAAGAGGAAGCAACCATTGCAAAGAATTCTTATAAAAAAAATCCCATTTCTTTTTATTTCATTAAGAGGTAATCTTTACAACTTTATAAAGATAAATACATTTTATAACAGAAATGGTATAACAAGCTGGTGAAAAACGGAAGATATGAAATTGATATAGCTTACATATAAATGCTATACATTTTCCATACAAAATTATCTATTTTTAAAAGGTGAGTGATGGATGGATGGACTAATGGATGGATGGATGGATGATGGATGGAACATACCAATTTTTCTGTTTTTATTCTCGTCTTCCTACTGAGGCTACTTTCACACTGCAGGCCTTAATGCTCATTTGCTGATTGTTTTGCGTAGTCAATCCCATTTCCAAATATATGCGACTTCTATGTGATCTCCTTTGTGAATTGCATTCATACAGCTTAATTGTCCCGTATACAAAAAAGAGGACTCAATGAAGTCACAAGCAGTCAACATGTTCTGTATTTACGGAAGTAAACATGGATGGTAACGGTGGGGAATATCTTGTGATCTTTAATTTCTTTTCCAACCGGGGCCGGCAGATTAACAACAACTTTTTAAGAAGATCGAAAAGAAAGACTGCTCTCATTATGTTCCACAATGAATGTTGTTTTTCTTCCTGCTTCTGCTTCAGAGGATCAGGGCTGGATTAAGAGTGAAAGGGCCCCTAGTGGGCCCCTGGGCATGTGCCCATAATGCCCATTGGATAATTCGGCAATAGCAGGGTGCAGAATATTGATCTTTGTCGAGTATTAATGATATACAGGTTGGATGATGGATGGATCCATCCAGGTTGCATATTGACAAAGAAAATCTGATTTGGGTCACTTCAGGCCGCAGTGTGAACATGATCTTAATACCTGATCTTGTCCACGCTTCAAAGGAAATCTGGTAATATGCACATTACCTGTGGCAGACTCCAGGTTTTATTTTCCACTTCTTCTAAAGAGCTGATATTTGCTTTCTTTAGAGCCTTCAGAGAAATACTGCGAAGTAAAGGGCCATCCAACTTCTGCACCAGCTCGGAGGGAGGGACATTCTCACTCAGCTGCAAGGAAAAAAAAAATATCAAGAAACTGTCAACCAGAACAACAAAATGCTTCAAATGACAGCTCTGAGTGTATATGTTGTATCCGTCCTTTTGTTCCTTACTACTCACCCCCTGCAGCGTGGTCTTCAGCTGCCCCTTTCTCAGTTGTTTTGAGATGGTCTTCATGGTTTCTGTGTTGCTCAGGATATCTTGTGGCTTCACATTCTTTAAAACGCAGCTTGGCAAACCAGCTGCAACTGACTGAAGCTCCATCAGCTTTTCACCTGAAAGCTTATCACACTGAGAAGAATAAAAGTCAGAAACACATTAGGGAGGCAACGAACAGAAAAGACCAGTTATTATCTTTGAGGAATCACCTTCTTCTCTCCCAGCTGATTCTTAACCAGAACACGCAGCTGGCTCCTGGACCATTTCACACCAGTTTCCAAGTTTTCAAGAACACTTTTGAGATTTTCTGTTGTGAGTTTTGAAAGTTGTTTGGGTGACAGCAGAGTAACGCTGCTGCCAAGGTCACGCAGCTCTTGATATTTATTGGAACCAGTCATCACACTGTTCACAAGACGCTTCTTCAGCTTTGGTTAGAGGACATGAACAACACAGAGAGATGAGGAAATGCAGGTCTGTCTCTTTGTATTTGAAAAATCAATGGAGACACAAGAGTTTAGGTAAGTCTGGTAAAATGAAAGATACCTCAAATATTGTGGGGTTAGGGTCACAGTCATCTAGCAGGGAGAGGAGCTTCTTGCTAGAGCTAGGAGTCAAGTTTGAAGCATCGTAATAGCAAGCCAGAGGGCCAAGCCTGGAAATGAGTCATTAAAAACAATCTTATCAAATCGTATTAGCTTTCTTTAATGTCAACTTATGAATTTCCACCTACTAAGGGGACTTTAAGACTGAAAACCACAGTGCTAAGCACTGCAGACGGCAAGTATTTACATCACTGACATTTGTTACATTTGTTACCAAGATTTACGTACTAAATTTGAAGTAATAGACAAAAGCAATGGTGGAGGTTTTTGGGCTAAAGTAACAGGGTGGGAAAAATGTTGTAAGTTACAACTTTTCACCCTTTTGTTTTAGGAAATAATTAAAGGTATAGTGGAGGATGATCATCAAAATAACTGGTCCTTCTAATTGTCAGTCATTCTGGTGATATGTTTATGTACGGCCATCCTATGTGTTCGTCCCCATATTCACTTACCCACTCTGACATAGTGGAAAAATTGCAAATCTTCTTTTGGTGAGTAAGCTTGTATGAGCAATTCATACAGCAACTTTTAAATGGAGCGTGCATGAGGAGAAATGGGCTTGTGCATGCTCTTGCACATGTTTAATAGGGGTTCCCTCTCAGGAGTGGGTACAGGGTTGTGCATGTGCATTTTTATTTAAAGTGGAGAGGGTGATTTTTTTTTTTAAATGTGCAAAAATTCTCCTCTATAACTTTAATTAGGAATACTGTATCAAAAACAAAGCAAAAACTAATGTAAGTAAGGGGAATACAAATAAATACACACTTATCGATTTGCTCTGAGACATTAGAGCACTCCTTAATTCTCTGAAGAAACTTCCTGCCAAGGCTGGGGTTCATCTTGGTTGTCATGTTAGACCTTAACTGGCCTGAGAGGAAGAATCCACACAGCTGGAAGAGATAATAAATGACACCATTAGAGAAAATACTGTATGAGCTTCTATTTGATAATACCAGTGTTAGGAGTGTTAAGGCATTGTTTGCAGGTCAATTTACAGTTTCTTTTGGAGAGGAATCTACATCGTCTGGCCTTAGATTTGAGAGGTATGGCCCCATCATGGTCAGCGTCTCAGAGTCCAGCCACTCTAAAGTCGGTTTGCAGCTTTCCAACATTGCTATGAAAAAAAAAGAGGTTAACACAATACATGTTGATGCTTAATGCATAGGAAAAGTAACAGCAACAAACGTTTTGCACATCAGGCTTGCTTATACTGCAATGTCTAACAAACAGCTATGTTTTAAGAGTCAGCACAGCAGGTTTTAAGTTACAGCTTTCCATATTTCGTCATCCTAAGTTGGGAAGACAAGACCTGGGTGACCACAAACAAGGTTTAAGATTTGCATGTGTTCTGTAAGAACTGGAACAGGAAAAATCTAACAAGGTTCATTTCTTGGTGCCACACCCAGTGTCTTGCTTTTCAGCCTGTGATATAGTCAAACTTTCCATCGTGATCTTTTACCTAAGACTTTCCATGAAATATCTCACCATTTGCTCTATACATTCTGATCATGTGTTTTTCTTCATCTCTCTGTCTCTGGTTGTTTTATTACTTTGAGTATTTCAGGGGTATATTTATTCAGGATTTCTTTTTTATTTAAAATTTTTTTTAGAAGGAAATTAGTTCTTCCTTTTTTCACACTCTTCTTCTCTTTATTCCTTCTCTCTCCTATACGTTCACCTGAGTTATTTTAGAAAAGCAAGCAAGTTCCTTCGTGTAACTCACTGACCATGACAGGAAAAGATGTCAACAGAAAGTGTAGGAGAATATGTAAATGCTGAGTTGTTGACTTAGAATCCCTTACTTGATCTTGGCCTAGATGATGGCCTCATTGTACAGCTAAAGTTGTTCTGCAGGACTTGTTCTTTAGCCCAGTTTAACACTTTATCCCGCTGCTCCTCAGTCATGACGGTGTAGACTTCTGTTAGCATGTTCATCCTGGAAGAAAATGGTGGCTTTAGTTTTTGGAAGAAGACCATAAAATGAAGTCCTATTATACTCACATAGGTCCCATGTTGTCCTTGCCAACCCTGGCGGGGAGCATCATTCTTGCTGAGGGTATGTCTTCCAGCACAGGTTTGGCAGCCCACAGTAGTGTTTTATAGTCACTGGAATTGAAGTAGTTTTCAGGCTGTGCTCTCAACATGGCCCAGGACATAGGGGCCACGAAAGCTTTCATATAGCAGCAGGATGGGTCCTGTGGGGGCAAACCAAAAAGCAAGAAAGTTCAACTGCTACAAATCAGTAATGATTAATAAACGTTTTTTTTTTTTTACTGTACTGACCACAGAGTTCTTTATCATCCTTATTACTGCTGGAAGGTTACTGCAATTCCACACCTTGGTTTTCACAAAAGAAAGAAAAAATCTTTAAGTATCATGAGTAAATAAAGTTATTTGAATGAATCATATATATGTTATACAGTTGAATCATATGCTTACATTCATTGTATAAAGATTTTTAATGTAAATTTACCGTACTCTGGAAATCAGACTAAATATTAAACATTTTAGGTCTAGGGTTTCTTTTTTTAATTGTTTAGTTTATTGAATTAGTTCTTTTAAATATGTACTTGAACAATGTAGAGAAGCCTAGCTTTGGTTTTGTAACTCTGTGATAGACTAACAGAAATTAATTGAGTTTGATTGAGGCTCAGCCAGAATGAGAAAGGGGGGTAGGAGCTAACAATCCTAAAACCACCTTTCAAACTTTGATTCCTGTGCAAGGTGGTATTATGTTATAGAGGAACATCAGAAAGTGTTGGACGTCACAATATATATCATGGTGAATAAATTAGTCTGATGTGTCAATATCAAATAAATATCTCAAGACCTGAGCAAGAAAGGTAAAGCTCAGGTGCAGGTCAGACTTCCATTATGGCCAATTACCCTAATCATAACCCAGACTAGAAAGAATGGATTAATTATAACAAAATCAAAGTTTTCAGGTTGCCATCAAGCAGGCTTGATCAAAGTCCTATGAAATTTTGTAAGAGCTGAAAAGGTGTTTGAAAGCAAGGCAGCCTACAAACCAGAACCAATGACACTGGATCTACCAGGAACAATGAGCAAAGGTTGGAGCTTGTGAAGCTTGTGAAAAGTATCAAAGTCAGAGTGACCTAAATAGGTTTTATCTGATTTAATTTTCAGACACTGAGATTAAGTTTCAATCATGTATATGTTTACTATTTTCCCCCCTTATTTTATTGTTATCATAAAAGATATAGTTTGTAGATGTATTTTTGTAAAGGATGTATTCACACCCAGGTCTCTGGAGCATCCATGGGGAGTGCATTCGGGGAGTTTTTGTTTGTGACCCCAGTCACCAAATCCTGGACTTGAAGAAATGTAGACAGGAGGTTGTTGGACTGGTCAACAGCTCGGCCTCCTTCTAATGGGTTACTACAAAGACAGCAAGAATGAAAATGAAGAGAAAAAGCAGGTGAGCATATCACTTTTATTCAATATTATTTATAATATCTCTTTTTTCTCTCTAAATACTGTATATATACATTGATACGTGTTTCCTATATTATTTCAAGTAATGGTTTTAAAGTGTATAATAATTTCCGGGATTTTAATCTTTAAGCTGATCAAAAGATCACCTGCCGTGCTTTATGTGCTTTTTAATCTGCTACCAGCCATTTCTAATGGAAACCTAACAGATCGAAAACCACAGACTGTACCATACAATTACCTGTTATTGAAGATGGTTTTCAACAGAGTCATCTTAGGCAAAGGGTATCCTGTAATGGGAAACTTCCACATTTATGTGTTGCACAATGAAAACAAAAACAAACATCTGCTGTGCAAATATTGAGATTGTTATTATACACCATGACACAGTCCATGTGCCTTCTCTCATATTAATGCGTCATTTGGATTCATGGTAAGTTTATGGTGAAGTTTAAATTCCAACAGCAATGAAAAAAATTTGCTATAAAAAAATAGAATCAGTGTTTCCTTACCCTGATTGTAGCATTTCATCATCTAATGAGAGAAAAAAGAACTTTTTTATATATATTTAATATATATTTATATTTTATATTGTGTTCAGTAAGATTCCAGCTTATCACGCACAAACAAACTGACACCAAAAATTTCACATGATGTGCTTTAAATACTGTATAGACTAGAAACTATGGGAAGAAATTATTGTATTTTAACTAATAAAAAAATAAACAAATCACTTTAAAGTTGGTATAAGCAAAAAAAAAAAGACTCAGGTTCAAGTTTTAAGAATTTAATATCCAAAATAGCAATAATCCCTTTTTTTTTTTCAATCAACAATGAGTAAGTAACCTTACTCATCGTAAGGTTATTTTGTAACCTTAACTTAACTTAATTTTCTCCACTAAAACCCTTTTTATTGAGGACATTTCTTACCATTTTTTTAGCCATGAAGGGATTATTATCTGCAGACGCCGCATCTGCAGGCCCAGCTGTAAACACAGTAGCTAAAAACCAATATAAATACAACGGTGAATGCAAACTGTTAAAAAGTGCTATTTAAAGTGTGTTTAAAACATTTACTAAAACAGTAAAAAGTAGGCTGTTTGTGTGTGACAATTCATTACTAACCAAAGACTGTGCAGGCCATAATGAGGACAAAAAAGCACATTCTTCCATTTGGAGACATCTGCAGAAATTTTGACTGTCTGTTAGAAATTATTACATTGTAAGAACTTCAACATTCCCATATATGACCAAAAACTCTGGTTAAATTATTCTTTAGTTACATTTCCACTTTGATTATATTTTTCCATGACATAAAGTAGGACTCTCTACTTTTATAGGTACCTGGTTGTTATGGAACCTGTCTCCAAGTGAGTCGCCTGCAGTTTAGTGACAAACTTCCTCCTCTGAGGTTTTCTAATCATACCTCCCTGGTAACCCTTCATGTTACTCATCCTGAGGGAAACTTGAGGACAATCGAGGACAACATGGAGGGAAAAAACAGATTTGCTAACTCACCTTTTAATTATGACAGCCTACTTTATCTTTCCAAATCTCAGCCTCGCAAAGCGTTTGAGTTCTTGTATTTGAGCTTTGATGAGGCCAGGTGCGCTAACCAAGACATTTGCATCTTAGCCTTTGCTTTCTTTCCTGTGATTTGAATTCCTATTCAAATATATCTAATGACCTCAGGAAACTGTACTGAAGTACAACCAACACACTAACTACCCATTTACCAGAGAGTCAAAGTTGTGTGTTTGTTTGACTGAAAGCAAAAACAAGTTGCTGTAAAATTGTTAATCATGACCATATATGTTTAGATTCACAGATAACAGGTTTGAGTCTTGCAATGGAAATTATCACACACTGAATACAAGCAAAAACTAATAGAAAACTTATTTTTTACTTTTAGAATTAAGCATCTGACTAAAAGCATGAAGCATTTGAAAAAAAAGAAAACTTTCTGAACAAGCTAATTTCTTTACAAATGTGTTATTACTAGAAGTTAATGCCATCTCACTATTTGTAGTAGTAAGTTCTTCTTTGTTAATAAATGAATATTAAGGGACTTATGTAATTAAAACAATTACAATCAGAAACAAGCAAAATTAAATACAAGTTAAATTACAAGTTATTATCAGATTGGGTGAGTCCTTACCTGTATGCTAATAAAAAAAATATAAAATAAAAAGCAGGAGGCAAACAAAAAAAGGAAAAACACAATGAAGCTAAGTGATATTAGTTAAGTTAGTTATTACTCACTGATTTTCCACCTCTTTCTGTGTAGATCCTTTGCATAGAGTGAGAATGCGTGCTCCTGTCCTGCCTAATTCCCTCGTCTGATGTGAGCCAGATGAGTTTCTACCAATCCCTGGCTTATTCAAAGCAGGTGTGCTACTGTGTCATTTCTGTTTGGGGGTGGGAGGGGGGTGGTTGGGTTGTTCTGGAGAAGTAAAGAAAGCAGTTGATGCTTTTAAGACAGCTGGCATAATAAACACTGAATTCTCAGTATAATTGCCTCCATTACAGCATCTTTAAATGTCAATAAATTAAAACTGATAAATAACCAGAGGGACAAAGTGAACCAGAAAGTTGTTCCCCACCTGAAATCTACCACTGCAATATAAGCAAGACGAACAAAATACCGACTAAAAGCTCTATTCAGAACTTCACGAAATGACGCAGGTAAACATGATGATGAAACATGAGAATGGCAGGACGCTACAGCTTATAACAGTAAACCCTTCCTAATTCCTAACGCAAATAATATATACCAGTGATTTTGCTGTTTGCTTGTAACAGAAAGTATGGAGAAGTCTAAGAATAGAAACATGGAAGCTTGCTGAGGAAGTTATACTTTTAGGGAAAGTTAATAGTTCATTTGAACCAATGTTGATATAAGCCCAAAAAACAGTTCAAATTTATATTGTTAAAAAATCAAACTAGATTATGGCTAACATAAATCACTATTATGATTTTATAAAATTAAATCAAATCCCATAGGAGTAACTAATCTTTCTACAGTAATGCATTAGTTGGAGCCTTTAAAGCATTGATAGGAATTTGGAAACAAATGAATATGAAACAAAGCCACTGTTTTATATACAGAACCCATGCATACACTGATGTGTCTCTCCAGAAGGATCAAGGTAGATGATATTGGAGCTTTCAATCCTCATCATTGTTTCCTGTTATTCTGGAGCCAGAAGGATCATTTAGGGAAGAAAAGTGATCTGAAAAATGATATTGACAGTTGTCAGCGTTTAAATTGATCTTGACTAAATCCCCACCAACTCTAATCTTGCTCTTTAGTGGCCATTATTTTATTACAGACATACATCATGCTCATTTCTAAACAATGACAGAATAAATTCAATTTTTATATATCTCTAATCGGCCTCAATCTTTGTAAACAAACAAAAAAACAAAAAAACAATATAAATAATTTTTTAATAATGACATGGCATGACAATGAATTATTCTTAAAACTAATGACATATTTTTAAGAATAATTCTTAAAACTATGTCTGCTAAGATCCAACTCAGGTGAAGGAATAGAATGTGAAGAAGGATGAATGGAGCAATAATGAATGCCTTCATGTTTACAGTTTACCTGCAGCAAATTCCTCAATGTCTGACGGCCTTTTAACCAGCAATTGTCTGTTAGATGAAAAACTGAGGTAAGAACATGTTTTTAACACAAAGAACAACAGCTTTACAGTTCATTTGGAATCATACTGACAGCATTTCCAAAGTTTCAGTTTATTTTGACCTCAGCAACATAAAGTTACTGTAAATGTTCTTACATAGTACAACTGCTGAGGGAAATACTCTGTATAATATACTGTGTATAATATTTCATTTTATGAAATGTATTTTGTGATATTTAGTGTGTAATTACTTGCCATTTTGACAGCATAATGAATTTTGTCCAGATGATAGCGGTAATATCATTTCTCTCTGGATTTATCAAAGAGGAAGGTTTGAACCAATTTGTCTTTAAACCTTGGCTCAATCTGAACAACTCAGATTAGAGCTTCTATTTTTTGTGTCGATCCTAAAGATTATATTTCCTTGCATATTTTTTTGCCATTGTTTTCTTTTTTAGATGTATAAATACAAGGACTTTCAAGGATGGATTATTTTTGTGGCTACTTTCAAAAGCTTCTGAGGTATTGAACTTATTTCTTATCACCTTCAAAATACTTGAAGGTTTTCCCCCTGTTATAATGCTAATTTTAGGGCATCAATTGTGTTTTTCTTGAGTGTTTAAAAAAAATCCTGTCGTATTTTTTATTTTTTCTGGAGTCTGCCCTGGGTTCATGACTATCGGTAAGTTAATAAATTTCAGTTAGGCACTATTAGGTTGTTGTTGTCCATAGCAGTCAAGTACAGCTGTGCTCTCGGCTTCTGCATTTGAGATGTGTCTTTGTTTTAGGCAGCTGTTATCTTTTGTATACTAACATAAATATTTCATCCAAATTTTAAGATTGATGTAATTTCATTACTTAACACATTCTAAATGATCAGGGTTGTCTTTATGGAGTTCAAAAAATACATTTTGTGCATTGAAAATAATATACTCATTAGTATTACTTTTTAGTGAGTATACTTCATGAATTCTAAATACATAAACATAAGAATTATGTATTTTTATATAGATAAGCTTTATTAAACTAATGAAAATGCATCATGTAAGGTTTATTTAATAGGTTTGAGTTTAAATTATCTTTAAAAAAGTCTATATGAATTTGTTATGTAATAAGTGTCTTCAGTGTTTGCAGCAAGATGCTGAATATCTTCTATAGAGTGTGATCTCTTTTTCCATTATCTGCTGGAGTAACAGTATTGGAGCAAATGGCTTTAAAAAAGCCTCAACAAGCTAATAACAAGCTAAGATCTCCTCTAGAACCTCTGGAGGTTATTTCACAAAGAGAAATTCTTCATCAATGAAGAACATTATGGACAATAATGAGCTTCTTCATCTGATTGTTAAGCAACAGAGTAACTTTAGCCCTCAACAACCGGTTAAAAATTTATAATCTACTGCAATATTAATTTCCCTTTGGGACGGAAACCTTAAAATTTGGGTGAAAAGTTTCTGCGAGTCAAGAGTTAAAAAAAGTACTTTGTATTTGAGATGGTACTTTGGACAAGAAAATTAAGTTGGAACATTATATCAATAAAATATCTTAGTCACTTTTTGAAATTAAAGTGTAAAACTGTACTTTTTTTCCTAATAACTAGTACAACACTGATCACACTAATTGTAACAATAAAAACCTGGCTTTATTTTTCTATTTTTTAGTTTGTTCTATCTAATCAGCTCTGCATTGTGAACTTTGGTGATTTTATTAATTGTTTTTTCAGCAGTTAACTAAGTGGAACCGATAAGGACGTTACCACCAACCTCAGAAACTCGCCAATAATTTCATCCACCTCTGGATGCGCTCTCAGATACCTCTCGTTGTCAAGTCTTGTCTGCATCTGAACCAAAAAAGGAAAAAAGTAGAATAATCCAACCATTCAGCACCATTTTAGCTAGCTCTCGCACGGTTAGCTTTTTTTTTTTTTTTTTTTTTTTATTACCTTAAACTCTTTCAGTTTTTCTTCTTGCTCGGGACTTAAAGGACCAACATTGCGTGTCGTCGGAGCACCTTTTCCATCTTCTGCCATTACTTCTTAACAGTCTTCCTCCGTTTCTCCACCAAAATCAAAAGCCAAACGGCCATCAACATTCGCTCACCTGTTGCCCAAAAGCTGTTGCCATGGCAGCGGACGAGCTTTAAAAGTTTTGCCCACGAGGGGGCATAGTTGAGTCAGGAAAAAAATTAAAGGTCTGCTGAATAAAACTATGATTTAATGTACATTTAAAGTCCACAGCTGTGGAAACTCTTTTAATCTTAAAACTATAATAAAAAAATCTAAAATATTAGAAATGGGCTCATTTATAATTGTCCAAAATATGACAGAGCACAACCAAATAAATTTTATCTATAATTAAACAGACAGGTTATAAGAGAAATACTCTACACCTACCTTCCTGTCAACACACAACAACTAATTTTAGGGGATCTGATATTGTTTCCAGGCCAGAAGGGAATTGTAATCTATGCTGCGGGTTCTGGATCTCCCCCAGGTTCTACATCACCAAAGGAGATGCTCTAGCATATCCTAATCAAATATCCAGGTAACCTCAGAGGAGCAGCGATAGTCCGATCTACCCATATTCTTATCTTCAGCTACCACAGTATACATGTCTGATTAAATAATACTACTTATACTTCAGTGATAGCATCAAGGTGTTATTTTATTGTATCTCTTATACTATATCCGTTGGTTGTGCTGTTCTTTTCACATCTCTTTGCAGGTGTTGAAGCAGACTGAAGATGTTTTATCGTTATCTCCTCTTTTATCTCCTCTTTCTTTCATATTTTTCAGTTTTTCCTTTCCTGTTGTACTTACATTGCAGTGTCCATATAATCTGTAATACTCCCTGCATGAATTATAATAAAGCTATTTGCATTAATCAAGCAGAATACTATGGCGATAGACTTACTGTGGGATAGCGCTACAAGTGAAGCACAACTTGTGAAAGCTAAATGTGTTTGGCTCTCTTTTTGGCATCAAAACAATTATTGTTATTGCAACATTGCCAGACAGGACACTGTAAAAAAAAAAAAAAAAGATAGTCCGATCTACCCTTGGCTAACAGACTCTGTATGTAAGACTTAGCTATGCACCTGAAACGCGTGGAAATTTTATTGTAATCCAAAGGGGGGCCCAGAAGAAAATCTTTGGGAACCACTGAACTAATTGGATATCAGAGTTGGACATTTTCAATTGTGATACTTTGTGTGGTTGGACAAAAATGTTTGAACCTAAATGCCTTGTTTTTACTAAGTAAAGATAAAAATTGCTGTACACCATCCAAGTATACATTTTTATAGATCCAGTTTATTTAGACTGATGAACTTTGCTTATTGTGTCAAACAGTTTAATAAAAAGGAAATTAAGTGATTACAAAGCCTCTAGATCATATGTTTAACTTGTCCCACCAGTACTTATAATATAAACCAAACATAATAATGAGAAAGCTAAGACATAAAGAGGTAGCAACATCCAAATAAAGATATGTCAACCAATCAATAACTAACTCATCAATGAGATACATAATCAGTAAATGTATTAATTAAATAGGGATGCCATATCTTTTAGGTAGAAAAGTATAATGAGCATACGTATTATACATATTAATATGTTGACTTAATACACTACAGGCTGACTTAATATTCGAAAATACCTCATGGTTATGAGACAAAATGTTAAATAGACAAGTCAGTGAAATTAGAATGCAACTCATGATGAGGGCTTTGCTTACTTATAGTAATGATTTTTTTTTCTTCTTAAAAGTGGCAAAACCCTCTTTTGATTTAGAGATTTAAAAGGCAGAAATAGATTTAATAAAAATGTGTGATAAACCAGCATACACAGTTGATTTCACAACATTAAAGCAGACAAGGAAAAAGAAAAAAAGTCCCATTTAATCACAAGCATGACATATACAATAAAATGCAGTCTGTACAAGCTTCTCCTGAGTGTACTTTCTCCAGCTAAGAGTCATTGTGTCAGCTGGTTTCTGAACCTGTAACATGACCGAGCCTCTTGGCTGTTCATCGCTCTATCTCCAGGAAGAAATAACTTTTGTTGTTGAAGTTCATAGCTTCTACTCGGTCCATCTCAGTTTGTTCTTCCTCATTTTCCTCCTTGTCTTGTGTCTCACTCGATGGTAGCTGCTTATAAAGCTGAGAGTCAGAACCAGACATAAGATTCTCTCTCTCTGGGGTCGAAGGGATGGAAGGGGGAGGTGGAGACACGTGATCACTGTGGGTGATGGTAAGTCTGTGGAGTTTGGACATAAACCTATCTTTGTGTCTGAAATAAAAAAAGAGCAATCATTTAAATGAATAACCTGGCTAAAGCTATCACTCTTAAATGTTGTCTTATAAAAAAATAAAATAAATATTAACCTTAAAATGTAGACAGTCAAAATGACAGAGGTGATGGCAAGAGTGGCAGAGATCCATAGGACATGATACTGAGTTTGGCATAAGTTGATACATATTTCATGAGTTGTACCTGCAGTGAAAAGAGATGAAAACCACAGGACTTTTTATGGTAACACAAACAACTGTATTAAAAGAAGGCGTTTTATTTAAGGACAACCATGTCTCTTGTGGCTTGTTTAGCTGTTAAGCCTCAGTTATTATGATACCATGGTTTCCTGTTCAAACCCAGTGAGGTATGGGGTAGTTTCGGGGTGTTTCCTCCCACTTGTTGTGCTTGGCTTTAAAATGTGCTCACAGAAACCGTTTACAGCGGGAGAACTAACCATCAAGATACATTTCCTCAGGAAAACCAGACCCCAAGTCTTCGATGGAGGGCAAGACATCCTGATAACAACAAAAAAAGGACCAAATTTAGACAAAAAGGAAAAAAGTTATATATATATATATATATCTTCTATTTGTGAATACGTTTATCCCTTGAATCCAAAGATACACTTCCTACCATTGTGGTCATTGGTTGACCCTCCTCTTCTACATTAGCTAAAAAAAAAGCAACAAAACATAAACAGTTAGCGTTTGCGCAGACATGTAGATAGATAGATAGATAGACAGACAGACAGACAGACAGACAGACAGACAGACAGACAGACAGACAGATAGATAGATAGATAGATAGGCTACTCATAAGCCCACAGCCCGACAAATGCTAAAAGGGCAATATTAATGCCATTACTTTTAATATATAGTAGAAATTTTGCACATCCAGTAATAAAATGTCACAGGGGATGGTATGGGGGCATGGTCATTTAAAAAGGGGGATGCCATCCCCCCTCATCCGCCCTCAACTCGAGTACTGTATATAATGATTAATGGCAGAGCGCTGTAATGTTTTTAAATAGTTACAGGCAAACACAACACAAGCCCTGGAAGGTTCTTTATTTTAAGCTGAAAGCTTTAAGAGGTGAACCCACACCCAGTGCTCAAGTATTTTGTAGAACTTAACAACTTTTCCACCTAAACTACTCTTCATTCAGCCTAAATTATCCTCTGCTCAAATAACTCTGACCAGCTGCCTTGTTTTTGTTCTCAAAAAACATCCCAACAGCATGATGCAGCCCAATCCATGTTTCACCATGGCAATTATGTGTTAAATCTTCCTTTTATGGCACACAAAGCAGTTCATATACAGACCAGAAAGAGTAGTTGGGTTTTATCTGACCTGACAACCTTTTCACACATTTGCTATACCTTCTACAACGTAAAAACTAAAATGATTATCTTTTAAATATTATTCTTTACCACTCTCCCATAAGTATTATCAAAACAACCTTTGGGAACTTCAGGTAAACATCTTTATTTTTGCTGAAAGTAAATAACGCAGGGATAACCATACTAACTTCATGGCTGAATCCTAAAAGGAATTAATTGTCCTGGATAATATGCAAGCAACCCAAAGTAAAGATGCAAAATACAAATATATGTAATATTTACCTTCTACAAACAGTTTTGCATTAGTCTTTCATACAGAAACCCCTCAAACCATTCTCAGGTTTTTAGTAGAATGTTGCAAAACCTGGTGCAGTTAGTATCAATTTAACCAAGGCACTGTTCATTTCCACTCATTGTGTTTTTACATATACTATGCTGTGTTTCAAGAATCTTTGCAACATAAAACTGTCAGAGACAGTAATAGCCTAAATCTGAAGTTCTAAACGTACGTGAAGCTTTAAGATATCTGTGCTGACTCTGCCACTATGTTTGTTAAGAATTGCATGGGAAATTGTTGGTTAAAATTTGGAACTTTGCTGACATCTAGTGGACACAGTTTGCATGTGGAATTTTGGGCAGTTAAGCAGAGCTCTTCCAGCTGCACGGTTGCTGTTTTCACTAGCCCTTCAGACGACTTTGGACACGTTTGTTCCTTGGACACTATTTGTCTGTAAGTTAATTTCATCTGTTGTCATTCTGGTATTGTGGAATATTTTGTTGGAAAGTTTACGTTTCTCAATTAGTATTTAGAGCTACATCGTTAGCTAGTTGGCTTGAGTTGAGAGTTACACTATATTGCCAAAAGTATTTGCTCACCTGCCTTGACTCACATATGAGCTTAAGTGACATCCCGTTCCTAATCCATAGGGTTCAATATGACGTCGGTCCACCCTTTGCAGCTAGAACAGCTTCAACTCTTCTGGGAAGGCTGTCCACAAGGTTTAGGAGTGTGTTTATGGGAATTTTTGACCATTCTTCCAGAAGCGCATTTGTGAGGTCGCACACTGATGTTGGACGAGAAGGCCTGGCTCTCAGTCTCCGCTCTAATTCATCCCAAAGGTGTTCTATCGGGTTGAGGTCAGGACTCTGTGCAGGCCAGTCAAGTTCATCCACACCAGACTCTGTCATCCATGTCTTTATGGACCTTGCTTTGTGCACTGGTGCACAGTCATGTTGGAAGAGGAAGGGGCCAGCTCCAAACTGTTCCCACAAAGTTGGGAGCATGGAATTGTCCAAAATGTCTTGGTATGCTGAAGCATTCAGAGTTCCTTTCACTGGAACTAAGGGGCCAAGCCCAGCTCCTGAAAAACAACCTCACACCATAATCCCCCCTCCACCAAACTTTACACTTGGCACAATGCAGTCAGACAAGTACCGTTCTCCTGGCAACCGCCAAACCCAGACCCGTCCATCAGATTGCCAGATGGAGAAGCGCGATTCGTCACTCCAGAGAACGCGTCTCCACTGCTCTAGAGTCCAGTGGCGGCGTGCTTTACACCACCGCATCCGACGCTTTGCATTGCACTTGGTGATGTATGGCTTGGATGCAGCTGCTCGACCATGGAAACCCATTCCATGAAGCTCTCTGCGCACTGTTCTTGAGCTAATCTGAAGGCCACATGAAGTTTGGAGGTCTGTAGTGATTGACTCTGCAGAAAGTTGGCGACCTCTTCGCACTATGCGCGTCAGCATCCGCTGACCCCGCTCCGTCAGTTTACGTGGCCTACCTCTTCGTGGCTGAGTTGCTGTCGTTCCCAAACACTTCCATTTTCTTATAATACAGCTGACAGTTGACTGTGGAATATTTAGGAGCGAGGAAATTTCACGACTGGATTTGTTGCACAGGTGGCATCCTATCACAGTTCCACGCTGGAATTCACTGAGCTCCTGAGAGCGACCCATTCTTTCACAAATGTTTGTAAAAACAGTCTGCATGCCTAGGTGCTTGAATTTATACACCTGTGGCCATGGAAGTGATTGGAACACCTGATTCCAATAATTTGGATGGGTGAGCAAATACTTTTGGCAATATAGTGTATTTGTTTGCTGTAGCCTAGTTGTTTTCTGTATCTGTATTTGATGTATACTTTTGTGTCTTGTTATAGTTTTACAAAGAAAAGTAAAGAAAAGAAAACAAACCAGCCAAAGAGTTGCAAAATAAAACAAGAAAACTACTAAGGACTGGATCATTTTCAAGCCAAGTGTTAGCTAGCTGTCTAGCTTTGTAAGAGCAACACATCGTGAGGGCAGCATAGTAAAAAGACAATTACGCAGCGGGTTCAAACTCGTCATGAGTCTACGTTCTGGCAAGAAATATACGAAGGACTACGCTAAGGACACCATGGATCGACCAAAATCGACAGAGCAAGAAACAGATGCTAATCTGCAAGCTGAGAGAAAATCACCTCTGCAAGTAAGTGACGTTGCATCGCAGTCATCCAAAAGATCATCTCGTTCTTCACAACGGTCAAGCAGGACGTCAGTATCAACTGCTTCGTCGGCAGTTAAAGCACGGGCCAAAGCTAAAGCTGCTCAGGCTCAACTGGCGTATGCTGAAAAGGAAGCTAGTGTAATTAAACAAAAGGCTGACCTTGAAGCGAGTGTGTTGAAGCAGAAAGCGGACCTTGAAGCCAGTCTCCACATTCTTCAAAGCCAGAGAGTTGCTGCCGCTGCTGAGGCTGAAGCTACGGCTTATGAAGAGGAAGAGATTGAAAGCGGGGAGAAGCTAAAAGAATTACACACCACAGAAGAACCTCTCAGTCCTATTGAACAGACTAGCAACTATATCGAGCAACATGCTGAGCTATTTCGTGACACTTTGCCACCGGAACGAGGTCCAGATTCTACCGAAGCAACCATCACATGCCAAAGATACAGATATCCAAAATTAGAAAAAATTGAGTTCAAACGTGAAAAACCAAGCAAGTGGGATCAACCGCTCACACACTTGGACAGAACTCAGCAACCTCATCAATCTGACAGAGGATTTGTGCCAGAGCCACAAGGAGCACATGATCTTGCAAAGTACTTGATGAGACGTGAGTTTGTCAGTTCAGGTCTTTTAAAATTTGACGACCGTCCTGAACACTATTGGTCATGGAAAGCATCCTTTCGTGGCGCCACGCAGGACTTGAACTTGTCACCCAGAGAGGAACTGGACTTGATGGTTAAATGGCTGGGACTAGATTCATCGCAACAAGCAATGAGAATACGTTCTGTGCATGTTCTTAATCCCGCAGCAGGCCTCAACATGGTGTGGCAACGTTTAGAGGAATGCTATGGAATGCCAGAGGTTATAGAAAATGCACTGTTTAAGAAATTAGAAAACTTTCCAAAGCTAACAAACAAAGACAACGACAAACTACGAGAACTTGGTGACATTCTACTTGAGCTAGAATGTGCAAAAGTAGAAGGATACTTGCCAGGCCTTACTTATCTAGACACAGCTCGTGGCGTAAATCCCATTGTGGAAAAGTTACCTCACAGCTTACAAGAAAAATGGATAACTCAAGCATCCAAGTACAAAGAGGACTATGAAGTGCCATTTCCTCCATTTTCTTTCTTCTCTCAGTTTGTTAGAAAACAGGCTAAGGTGAGAAATGACCCTAGCTTTGTGCTTACCACCTCAAACAGCTACATGTTCTCAAAGTCAGATAAGAAGACCAGGTTCAACAGCAGTTTTTCAGTGTCAACACACAAAACAGAAATTCCTTCAAAGTCTGCAGATTGCAGTACTCTTTCATCAAAGAAAAAGGTCATAGATCCAGCTCGGGAATGTCCAATTCACAAAAAGCCTCATCCACTCCAAAAGTGCAGAACCTTTAGGAACAAACCCATCGGAGAACGCAGGGCTTATCTTAAAGATAATTATATCTGCTACAGATGTTGCGGATCAACTCAGCACATGGCAAAGGATTGCAAAGCAACCATTAAATGTTTTGAGTGTCAAAGTGAGACACACTTAACAGCTTTACATCCAAATACTCCCTCAGCTACAACTGAGACCTGTGGTTCTGACAAAGAGGACAGTGGCGAGCCAGGTGAAAACACACCCATCACATCAAAGTGCACAGAGGTTTGCAATAACTTAGATGGCTCACGTTCATGTGCTAAGATTTGTTTAGTTAAAGCATACCCTGTAGGAAGAGAAGACAAAGCAGTTAAAATGTATGCTGTTCTTGATGAGCAAAGCAATAAATCGCTCGCAAAGACAGAGTTTTTTGACTTGTTTGAAGTTAAAGCCAACACAGCTCCATACACATTAAAAACCTGTTCTGGAACTACAGAGACGTCTGGTAGAAGAGCTGATAACTTTGTTCTAAAGTCTATGGATGGAAAAGTTCAGATACCGCTTCCTACCTTAATTGAATGTCATATGGTGCCAGATGACAGACTGGAAATACCTTCACCCGAAGCAGCACAACATCACTCTCATCTAAAGTCAATCGCCCACAAGATTCCAGCAGTGGACCCAGATGCCCCTATCCTGCTGCTGCTAGGAAGAGATGTCATACGAGTGCATAAGGTGAGAGAACAAATAAATGGACCTCATGATGCTCCATATGCACAGCGACTTGATTTGGGTTGGGTTGTAGTGGGTGATGTTTGTGTGGGAAGTTTCCATGGATCTACAAAGGTCAGTGCCTTTAAGGCAAACGTGCTGCAGAATGGGCGCACATCCTTCCTCAGTCCATGTCCAAACAGCTTCCAAATAAGGGAAAATTATGGCACCCCACAACAACATCAGATCCATCCCCTTGCACGTGGAGACATTCAACCTATGTACTCAGAGAATCAAGAACACTCAGTATTTGAAAGATCCAAGGACGATAACAAATCAGGACTGTCCGTAAACGACAAAGCTTTTCTGAAAATTATGGATAAAGAAGTCTATCAAAATGAGGATCATAGCTGGGTAGCCCCTTTACCATTTTATTCTCCAAGACAGCTTCTTACAAGTAACCGAGAACATGCTATGAAGCGCCTTGGCTCACTCAGAAAAAGCCAGAAATGAAAGAACACTTCAAGGAGTTCATCCAAAAAATGCTTGATAAAGATCAAGCTGAACTAGCGCCGCCTTTAGAAGAAGGTAAAGAACACTGGTATCTTCCAACTTTTGGTGTCTACCACCCAAAAAAACCAGGACAGATCAGGGTGGTGTTTGACTCAAGTGCTGCATATGAAGGAGTGTCTTTGAATGATGTACTTCTGAAGGGGCCAGATTTGAACAACACTCTGATAGGAGTTCTTTTAAGGTTTCGAAGAGAACTGGTAGCTGTCACAGCAGATATACAGCAGATGTTCTACTGTTTTCTTGTCAGAGAGGATCATAGAGATTATCTCCGTTTCCTCTGGTATGAAGACAACAACCTTGACAAAAACATTGCAGAGTACAGAATGAAGGTCCACGTGTTTGGAAACACACCATCACCTGCCGTTGCTATATACTGCATGAGAAGGGCTGCTAAAAAGGGTGAGAATGAACATGGTTCTGATGCAAGACAGTTTGTGGAGAGACAGTTTTATGTTTGCGATGGACTAATTTCAGTTACCACAACTGACGAAGCAGTTGACCTCCTGAAAAGAACGAAACAGATGCTTGCAGAATCCAATATAAGGCTGCACAAAGTAGCATCGAACAGCAGGCAGGTAATGGAAGCCTTACCTAAAGAAGATCGAGCAAGTGATCTAAAGGAGTTGGAGCTTGGTGCAGATCCACTCCCTCTCCAGCGCAGCCTCGGACTTTCTTGGAATTTAGAAACTGACAGCTTCACATTCCAGGTTTCAAGTGAAACAAAACCATTCACCAAGAGAGGCATTCTGTCTACAGTAAATAGTCTCTTTGACCCCTTGGGATTTGTGGCCCCAATTATAATGCAAGGAAAAGCACTTCTGCGTGAACTTTCATCACATCAAGATGAGTGGGATTCTCCACTACCTTCTGAGAAAGAAGCAGAATGGAACACATGGAAGAACTCTCTGAAAGCCCTGGAGGATCTTCACATTAGGAGGAGCTATTTCCCCATTTCACCCACATTACTGCTAAGGAAGGAGTTATGCATTTTTTCAGATGCATCTACACTCGCGATAGGAGCTGTAGCCTACATGAGAGCGGTTGACGTTGATGGAACATACCATGTTGGCTTTGTCATGGGTAAGTCCAAGCTGGCTCCAAAGCCTGCACACACTATTCCACGCCTTGAACTTTGTGCTGCTGTGTTGGCTGTACAGATGTACGAAGTCATCCAAGAAGAAATGGACATCAGTGTGGATGCAGTTACATTTTTTACAGACAGCAAGATTGTACTTGGCTACATCCATAATTCTTCAAGAAGATTTTATGTGTATGTGTCCAACAGAGTGGCAAGAATAAGGCAATCTTCTTGTCCAAACCAGTGGCACTATGTTTCCACAAATCAGAACCCTGCAGACCATGCCACCCGGTTTACTGCAGCAGAGTACTTACAACAGACCAACTGGTTTACAGGTCCCGGTTTTTTGAAATCAGATTCTGCAGAAAAGCCCCCCGAAACCAACAACTTCAATCTGGTGGAGCCTGAAACTGATGTTGAAATTAGACCCATTGTGACAGTCCTGACTACTCGCACCTCATCAGGTCAGCTAGGTTCACATCGATTTGAGCGATTCTCAGATTGGACAAGACTCTGTAACACTATTGCCAGACTCATGAGTGTCGCCGTCTCCTTTAAGAAGAATCATGAGGGATGCAGAACGTGAAACAGGGAAACGTTTCGCCAAAATTCCCAGTACGGTGGAGCTTAAAAAGGCTGAAATTCTAATCATTCATGACATCCAACAAGAGGCTTTCAAAGAAGAGCTTAAATGTCTTGAGAAAGGAGCGACACTTCCTAAACAAAGCCCACTTCAGAAACTTAACCCTGTGAAAGACAGTAATGATTTGCTGAGAGTTGGAGGTCGTATTTCGTCTGCAGAGATGTCAAACGAAGAGAAACATCCACTGATCATTCCCCGAACATGCCACATTGCCACATTACTTGTGAGATTTTTTCATAAAGAGGTGGCTCACCAAGGTCGCCACATAACAGAGGGAGCTCTTCGAGCTGCTGGTTATTGGATTATTGGAGCCAAGCGTCTGGTGTCTTCTGTAATCCATAAATGTGTTATCTGCCGCAAACTACGTGGACATCTACAAAAACAGAAAATGGCAGATCTGCCCAGAGACAGACTTACACCTGAACCTCCATTCACAAATGTGGGCCTTGATATTTTTGGACCATGGACCATCAGTACACGTCGCACAAGAGGAGGAAGTGCTAATAGTAAACGGTGGGCAGTCCTTTTCACCTGTATGTCAACCAGAGCTGTGCACATAGAGCTGGTGGAATCCATGTCAACAGATAGCTTTATCAATGCTCTGAGGAGGTTTTTTGCTATCCGTGGTCCTGCCAAACTTCTCCGATCCGATAGGGGAACCAACTTCGTGGGTGCATGCAGAGAACTGAACATCATCTCTAAGGAGGCAGTGATTGAATCCTATCTCCAAAGCAAAGGATGCACATGGATTTTTAACACACCACATTCATCACACATGGGTGGTTCATGGGAGAGACTTATCGGTGTAGCCAGACGCATTCTGGATGCCTTGTTACTTCAGACAGGACACACTCATCTCACACACGAGGTTTTGAGCACTCTCATGGCTGAAGTCATGGCGATCATGAATGCCAGACCTCTGGTCCCTGTATCCAATGATCCTGAGATGCCAACAATCCTCACTCCGGCCATGTTGCTTACTCAAAAGTCAAGCACAGTATCAGCTCCTTCTGGTCAATTCAAGATGGGTGATCTCCAAGGTAAACAATGGAAACATGTCCAATGTCTTGCTGATACCTTTTGGAAGAGATGGAAACAGGAATATTTGTCCACTTTACAAGTGCGCAGAAAATGGACTCGGCTAGAGAAAAACATAAAGGTGGGAGATGTTGTCTTGCTTAAAGACAATCAAGCCCACAGGAACGATTGGCCCATTGGAATTATTGTGAAAACTTTACCAAGCAGTGACAAGATTGTACGCAGGGTAGAAGTGAAGACAACAAAAGGAGGACAAGTCAAGGTTTTCCACAGACCTGTCTCAGAAGTTATTGTTCTGCTTTCTGAAGGCCTTTGAAGATGGACTGATTGAATTTTCTGTAACTATGGTGTCAAAATCATATTTTGCCAAGCGGGGAGTGTGCTGACTCTGCCACTATGTTTGTTAAGAATTGCATGGGAAATTGTTGGTTAAAATTTGGAACTTTGCTGACATCTAGTGGACACAGTTTGCATGTGGAATTTTGGGCAGTTAAGCAGAGCTCTTCCAGCTGCACGGTTGCTGTTTTCACTAGCCCTTCAGACGACTTTGGACACGTTTGTTCCTTGGACACTATTTGTCTGTAAGTTAATTTCATCTGTTGTCATTCTGGTATTGTGGAATATTTTGTTGGAAAGTTTACGTTTCTCAATTAGTATTTAGAGCTACATCGTTAGCTAGTTGGCTTGAGTTGAGAGTTATTTGTTTGCTGTAGCCTAGTTGTTTTCTGTATCTGTATTTGATGTATACTTTTGTGTCTTGTTATAGTTTTACAAAGAAAAGTAAAGAAAAGAAAACAAACCAGCCAAAGAGTTGCAAAATAAAACAAGAAAACTACTAAGGACTGGATTATTTTCAAGCCAAGTGTTAGCTAGCTGTCTAGCTTTGTAAGAGCAACACATCGTGAGGGCAGCATAATATTCATGATCCTTCTGAAATAGTCACATTTTAGACCTCTATTGGGCATGTTTGTTTCATTCTACCTGTCCAGCTCCTGGCAATGATAGGTGTAGTCCACTCACTCCAGTGACCGTCATATTCCTCTTTACTCCTGAGCTGAATCAGGTAGTCAGTACCAGGTAGAGCATCAGTGATGGTGTAATGCCGCTCTTTGACATCATTTTTCTGTGAAGACACATAAAACAAGACCTCAGTCAACTGAAACAACCTAGATTACACAGCATGACATTCATGACTGAACTATTCACCAATCAACAGTACCTGTTCATGTGAGGAGATAAGTGGTCTGTATCTGATCTCATAAATTATGTCATAATATTCATCTGGGTACTTTGGCTGATTCCAGGACTCTGGTAAGTTCCAGGTTACCTGTATCATCCTCTCTACCTTCTCCACCAGGTAGGCTGTCACCTTGGATGGAGGGTTTGGCTTCACTAGGGTAGCAGAAATGGGTTCAAGCGATTATAAAAGCTTTATATAGTGTAAAACTGTTGAATGATAACAGACCTACTTACAAATATCCAGAGGTGTGAAATAAATTGGAGGACTGGTGGCATTGCCTAAGATATTTGTGACACACAGGAAGGCCGTATGGGTAGTCCTCCCCTCATCATTGTTCTCCAGAGCACACCAACAACGAGAACGCCGAGACGAGTAGGAGCATGGGATTTGCTGGAAGTCCTCTATCTTTGTCTGAGGAAGATCTCTAGAAAAAAAAGAGATGAAAAAAATACAAATAAAAAAGACTACAGTATAGAGAAAAACAGTAATGTATTGGATGCTCATAAGTTTTTAGTGGGTATACATTACATAGCGGATATTAGTATTTTTGTCTGTAGGATTACATAACTTTTACTACTTCTTCATTCTTCTTGAGTAAAAATACAATGAAGAAGTGTTACTCTTACATGGGGGACATCTTTTTCCCATCTCTATTCACCTCGTGAGTATTTAGGTGCATTTCTAAAAAATTGAGAATTATGAATTTTCAACCCTGACAAAAGTTAAAAAGAGAGATCCTATCTCTCCTATCCTAGCATCTCTTCATTTGCGTCCTATTAAATCCAGAAGAGAATTTAAAATCCTCCTTCTCAAATAATAAAGCCTTAAATGGCTAAGCTCCATCTTATATCAGAGATATGATTGTTCATTATGTTCCTAAAAGAGCACTTAATTCTCAATCTGCAGGTTCACTAGCGGTTCCTAGAATTTCTAAAAGTAGAATGGGAGGCAGATCTTTTAGTTATCAGGCTCCTCTACCAGTTTTAGGCTGTGATGCAAACAGCCTGTTTACTTTTAAGGGTAGGCTTATTCTATCTCTATTTTCCCACTCTGTAGAATTTGTTAGTTCAATTTCTAACATTATGGTCTATCTGCTTTTTCTCATAGTAGCTTCATCTGCTCTGTTCCTGTTTGGCTGTGAGGAATATCAGCTGTGCTGATGCCACCAACGCCTTTGTTTATAGATCTTCAAGCTCGGCCTGTTTTTTAGTGTAGTCTTGTTTCTCTGACTGTGACTGGCTGGATAAGCGTGCTCTTCATCCTATGACATGGGAGCTGGCTCAGAGCTCGTCTGCCTGGGTGTCTGTTTCCTGGACGTGGCCGCCTGAGGAGCTGGTTGACAGTTGCCTTTTGAATCTCTGCTTCTATCTGTGTGTCTGCATCTGTCTTCTTGAACCCCAGTTGGCCTCAGCATATGGCCGCTCACACTGAGCCTGGTTCTGCTGCAGGTTTCTTCCTGTTAAAAGGGAGTTTTTCCTCTCCACTGTTGCTACAAGCATGCTTGGTGTGAGGGATTGTCTTTGAGTAAATGAGTTGATACAATCAGCTGGTTTTCCTTAGATAGACAAATTTGAATCAATTTGTCTGTATGATCAGATTGAATTGTAAAGTGCCTCTAGATGACATCTGTTGTGAAATGGTGCTATATAAAATAAATAAATAAAGCGAATTGAAATAGGGGCTGCCCAGTGAAGCAGTGGGTAGCACTGCTGCCTTGCAGCAACAAGGTTTTGGGTTTGATTCCCAGCCTGGAGTCTTTCTTTTGAGCTTTTCTTTTTCTTTGGCAATCAAGATGCAAGTGTCTGAAGAACAAGAGGATAGGCACAGAATTTCTTCTGCTAGACAACCTATATTTGTTTCTCAGTAAGTTATTTATAGTGTACAATGTCATAAAACTGGGGTTTAAGTCCACAGTCAATGCAACCAACCAGGAAACATGAGAGCTTAATGCTTTCTTCTGTTGAAAAGCTGTATGCTGATTTTATTTTCTATTAGCATTTGGCACAAAAACCTGGTTCAGAATTCATGGTTTTACTCAGTTTACTGGCCTGCAAACTCTCCTGACCTGAACTCCATAGATAATCGGTTAAAAACGGCCAAGAGGAAAATGGCAGATAGCAACCTAACATGGCAGGTGATCTAATTCAACCTGGGCTTCTATTTCATATCAGCAGCAGCACAGGCCAGTCATTGCCATGCCACCCAGCATTGATGCAGTAATTCATACAACTGAGTATTGAATGCATAGAAATAAACATGTTTTAGAAACAAGAGATTTCTATTTAATATTAACTTTTTATTGGTCAAATTGACCTTTGTTTTCCTGTTTGTAAGCCAGAGTTATCAAGATTTAGAAACACATTTTACTTTAAGTGTAATAAATCCATACAATATGAGCTTTCATTTGGAAATTCTTGACAGTTATGTGGAAATGTTTCATGTTATTATTTTCTTTTTAGATGTACTTGTGGGATTAGATTTAGATTTATAACCAACAGAGTTGCCTGTGGGTACAAAGGTATCAGTCAATATGTCTCAGCCTTCAGCCTTGTTTCTGTACTGCAAAGCGTGTTTCTTAAAAATCTTTAATGAGATATTTGGTATTGTGAATCAATAGTTTGACACTCTCAAATATTTCTATATCTAAATAGGTAGAGAGAATTTATCTTTATTTCCACTAATTCAAAAAAATAAAAATAAAATTAAGTTAGGATTTCTGGGTTTCTTTAGGCTGCCCCTGGTACTCATTAGTCAAAAACAACTCTGCTGATTGGGAACATGGTAAGCCTAGTATGGTATTCCTATAGAATATGTGTCATTGTCTTATTCTAAATAAAACAGATTTTTAGACTTATTGTGTACTGTATTTCACATTCTTACCTTGTGCTCAGGAAGAGAGAGCAGTCAGGTGTATACTTGATCATTGAGTTCAGAGGCTTCGATTCACAGCGAATTTTACTCCAAGGTGATTTCATGTAGCAAAGCATAGTGGGAGTCTCAGGGGGATCTAAGATATAGAGATATTTTATCAGGCATTATTGGCTCCAAACTACCTGCAATTAAATTCGTACAGCAGTGCTTTTGCCAGCATAAATGTAAAGAGAAAGGATGAGTGAAGGTGCACTTTTGGTTTTGTTATTCTGATTTCTGTCCAAGTGAAAGTTCTTGCATAGCTTGTAATGAAGTAATAATCAAAGAAGTAGAAAATAAATATGAGGTCCAGTCGCACTTGGTGGTGGGAATCGGTTGAAATCTGTGTTACTTGACCTTTCTGGGTTCTTATACATTAGCTCTAAGAATTAACTCTAATAATATTTTTTATTTGAGAGGCGACTGTTGCCCCATGTCAGGGTGCCCTGGGTAGGGAGCCATATAGCGCATTTAAAGACAGATCACTGCCTGTAACAACACTACATCAATATAAAATAATGATTGTTTGTTAATATTTTAGACAGATATCCATGTAGATATAATGCCTGACTCAAAAAAAAAAATACAAAAAAATAAAATTATATATATATATATATATATATATATATATATATATATATATATATATATATATATATAAAATTAAGAATTAATACAGACGGGTGGGCTAATGAAAAGCACCTGCTTAAAGGTGCTCTTTTTAAATATGGCACTGTAACATGTACACAAGTTAAACTATGAATGTATATGGTTTAAGTTTTTTTAATCACATTTGTAGGAATGACTTGGATACATGTCAAAGAAAAAAAAAACATATTCTATATATCCCACTGGCTGTGCGGTGTGTCACAGCCACATATATCCCAGTTTCTCTGATTAGTTGATATGCTGCCAGTTTAGGAAGAGCAGAAGACAAGACTCTCCCTTGTATTGTGTAATTTTCTTTTATTTTCTTCTTTAAGTTCTGTTATTTCTGCGTTTAATTTTTCTTTATCAAGTGTTTTCTTCTTCTTATTTAGCACCATAGTGATCCAAACTGCAGCCAGCCACTATTTCCCTTCCACAACCCTACCTGAAGGCTGACGCTCTAGACTGAAGTTGTCCTTTAGAGCTGATCTGAGTTACAAGACTGTTGAAGATGCCTCTTTGGAGATCCTAACTATGTGCGGGGAGAGAGAGATGACACAACAATCTATATCTGACCAGGAAGAATTAGAGTCTAGGTAGTTCTATTATGGAGGCTGTAGACAGACCAATCAATTCTTCATTTTAGTTCATCTGCAACTTCATTGTGCATAACTATCAATTTGAAAATCTATCAGTTTATCAACAAAATAAGATTGCAAACCCTTTTTTCAAATTCTAGACAAAGACAAACATAAGGTTTAAAGTTAACATTTAATAAGCTTGATTAGTCGTGTTTTGAATGTTTTGAATTTACATTTATTTACCATTTATTTTTTTATGTTTGTTAGTTTTATGTTTCCTTTGGTTGAGTTACTTGAGGAATAATTAAAGAACAGACCTTAATCATGTACTACATGTAACTGATTGCATTAAAATTAAATAATTTTTTTTGTCTTTATTCATTTAAAAAAAATAGACAGTAAGATAACTCCCCGGTAAGGAAGGATTTACCTGTTATATTGATTTTCCAACACTTCCAACGTAGCCAATCAGTTACTGTCAAGTTTGATTAAACTGGTCTGTGGGAGTTCATAGCTGCTTACTAACCTCTTCAAAAAGTGCAGTAACTTACCTGCAACAATCACTGTAACAGCGAGCGTTTCTTCTCCCCTCTGATGACATGTGTATTTTCCAGCGTCCGTCTGTCTGACTGAACTCAGAGACAGACTGCTACCGCCATTCAGAAATTCCATTTCTCCCCAGTCTCTGTCTGCTCTCTGCACCAGCTGTTTATTCCACCTCCACTGAGGCCTTATTTTAGCCCCTCTTGAAACCCTGCTGCTTTCCCCCAAGTCCTTATCTCTATATTCAGCCTCAGGTTTCTTCTCGTTTTCTTCCCACTTGGACTCTCCCCTCAATATTGTAGTCATGCTCAGAGGGGTTGGTTGGACCACTTGTGGAGAAGTGAAGCGTTCCTTGTTTGAATATTCATTGCTTTGGTTTTCTCCTTGCAGAGTGTTGACTCCAGCTGCTGTGGTTGTAGAGTGATACTGCACACTTTCTGCAGAAGTTTTCTTGCTTCTATTCGGAGAAATCGTGTTTCTTCTAACTTGCAGCGTGATCGGGGTTCTTTCTGATGGAGATCTTCTCTTGTTTGTGCTTAAGACTTTTCTTGATAGGTTGACTTTATCTCCATTCACCCTCACATGTCCATCGCAGGTCAGCTCCAGGCTGCTTCCTTGAGGTACCACCAGCACCCCAGGGGGAGGCTCTGCAGTCATACACAAACACAGAAAAATAATCATTTGTTGCCAAATTACAAACCAGAGTGGACGCTGGCTGCGTTTGTTACTTAGACTTAGACAACTTTTATTGAATTTTGTATACACATAGTGTATACAACACAATTTTTTTTTGTACAGTTTTCAGACAATAAATGAGCAGCAGCTTAACAGTGAAATGTGACAGTTCAGTAGTCTAATGGCAGTGGGGAGGAAGCTGTTTCAGAATCTGCTGGACCTGCTTTGAATGCTGCAAAGTCTCTTCCCACAGGGCAGCAGAGATAATAGTCCATGGTGGGGGTGTGAGGTGTCATTTATGATGTTATGGGCTCGGCACACGCAGCGCTGTGATGAAATGTCTTTTATGGAGGGAAGAGGTGCCCAGATGATCCTCTCTGCTGTTCTAACTACTCTTCTCATGTTCTTCCATACTGAGGCGTTGCAGCCTCCACACCACACAGTGAGACAGCTGGTCAGAACGCTCTCTATGGTGATTCTGTAGAAGGTTGTGAGGATGGATGAGGGCAGGTGGGCTCTTCTCATCCTCCGCAGGAAGAACGTGCACTTTTGTGCCCTTTTTACCAGTGTTTACAGTCCAGGTGAGGTTGTCTGTGATGTGCAACCCCAGGAATTTGGTGCTGCTGACCACCTCTACTGCTGAGCTGTTGATGAGCAGTGGAGCGTGGTTCTTCCTGAAGTCAACGTTGATCTCCTTCATCTTCTCCATGTTCAGGATCAAGTTGTTAGTACAATATTGTATGCGAACACTGTATCTTTAAAAGATCTTAAGGTACAAAGTGTCGTTCTCAGATCAGTAAGCACAGCACAGATAGGATGCAGCGTTGCATAACAAAAATCACCAACTCTTTTAAAACTTCCTCTTTTAATCTGCATTTTGTCTACATAGTCGCTCTTCCGTCTAGAACTTCATGTTCTCCATATCATCTCACTTATGAACATCAGTAGTTCCTCTAACCTAGATACTTTGATTTAGCTGAAAACTAAAACATATATAAAGTCTTGGAAACAAATATTAGACCACCCATGTTATCTTCTTTTTCTGTGCATTTTTCTTCAGGTAACATACGTAAAGAACAAGATACTGAAGAAAATAATGTTTGTGAAATAGTTTTATTCCTAACTTTATGTATTATTTGAAAGATTTGTGAGGTTTTTCTTTTTTAGAGCTGCTACATGCATCTGGTGCACCTGCTCACTATACTGAGAGATAAAAAAATGACCTGTAAACGTCTTTTTTTCTAAAACTATTTTGGGTTAGATCAAAGACAAAGAAACTGGAAAACTGAAATACCACATTTTTTTCAATTAAATATATAAAAAAAAAATGATGCAATAAGCTTGTTGGACTGGCCAGCTCAATGAATACAACAGGGATGATTAAATATAACATTAATAAAACACTAAACATCTGCTAGATCGACTCCATATTATTAGTAAAGTTCATAGAACGTCCACAAAATCCACGTTAAAGGGGCTGTTTTATTACTTATATATCTAAAGATTATGTAGGCAACAATAATGAATTCATAACATACCAAATCTCAACATATGAACATTTTCTTTAGAAAATAACTTAATAAAAATACTCAATACATTGAATTTATTTAGTGAGGACTCACCTTTTCTTGGACAGATGCCGTCAAAATTGCCACTAACTGGCATGATGCACAGAAAGCCCAAAAGCCGGAGCAAATTACCCATTTTTGAAAGTGGTCCTCAAGTCCTCACACCATCTCCGACAGCTACACTACAGCTGCAGGACACCAGGTAACATTGGGCTTCATGAGCCTGAGAAGAAACTGACTGCTTTCCAGTACAGACAGGATTATTAAAGCCGAGCCTGCCTGGACGCAGTAGTGTGCTGTCCGTAAGACCCGTTATTGTGAAATCCCAGCGCTCTTCCCCCTGTTCAGTGCCGTTGCACAGAGGAAATCCTCCACAGTGACAAAATAACACCCCCGAAAGCTGAATTCAGGTCTAATACTGTATAGTGTTTTTCTTATCAGAGAACTCTGTATTGGTTTTGCTTCTTATCAGACTCAAGATTCTTGTATAGTTTTAAAATGTATATTAACCCCTGCTAATGTTCAGTTTTGCTATTTTTTAGATATTGTACATAAAACACTCAAGTCACATAATGACTCATATAGTTCTGGAATAATTCATATCTTTCTTCCAAAGATAGGTACAGGTCATTTATTCATCTTCTTTCTTCATATTTCTGTATATCATGTATACAACCTAATAAACAGAAATAAGTATCACATGCATGTTTTTATGGTTCAACCTAAAGGTATTGACGTCTCTAGTTGTCTGTCGTCTCGTCTGTTTAGTGGTTATGACTGTGTTGCCATCACTGCCGTCTTCTCTCACGTCCAGACGAAAACAGATTTACATGGTTAAAATCTGTTTTTTTTCTCTTTAAGCATTACTAAACAGGTGCACTTTGATATTATCCCAACAACAACAGAAAAACACTACTTTGTGTCATTAATAAATGATCAACCAATAATTAATTGGAAAAGTTTTTGTATAACCAATTTTTTTTTCATCACCACTATAGACACTGTTTGTTTATCAGATTATAAGAGATTGACACAGTAATGCAGAATTTTAAGTTTTGTTTCCAAGGAGTCTAAAAAATTTACCATGTTATTTGGCCTTTGTGCAGAAGTGTCAAGAAGATAGTAATTGTTAAAAGAAAGCCAAGATGTCTACTTTGCAAGTCATTCGGGAAACAGCAGACATCTAGAACAAAGTCTTTTTGATGCGATAAGGCCAAAATGAATGATTTTGCTCCGTATCCAAAAAAGTATCTAGGTAACACACCAGCATAACACTAAATAAGATTGGTACGTCTGAGGTGCTCATAAAAACATGGAACTTAACCCCTAAAAAATGGTGGAGATGCTCAGACACTCTTTCCTGCTGCAAGTCAGGGAGTACGACCTTCTATAGGAGATGCTGGTCATCTGTGTGCTTTGGCTCATCAACTAAGCAGGTCTGAATGGAAATAAAACAATAAGGTCTCCAGTTAGGATCATCGCTGCGACCTTCCCTTAATCAGGGCCCAAAAAAAACAGCCTTTCTTTTGTTCATTTAAAAAAAAAGTGCTTCACAATCATGCATCACCATACCAATATTAACCTGATATTTTTCCCTCGTCTTTTTATTCAATTTAAAGCATTCTTCAATATAAGGAGTTGTTTGGACCATTGATGCTCAAAATGACTAATATCTTGTTTGTAGACATGAACTTGGGATGTTTAGGCTGAATCTTATTCTGGCAATAAAACATGTTAGTGGAACATCATGCTGTGAGGATATTTTTTTTTCTTCATAATGAGAGCTAGTCAGAGTTGATGTAAGCACAGATAGAGCTAAATTAGATGAAATCCTGGAAGAAATCCTGTTAGAAGATGCAAAAGAATTGAATTTGGGGAGAAAATTCCTCTTCCATCATTAAAACCATCCTAACTTTGAAGCCGTAGATAAAATAAAGTGAATTTGAAAAACATCGGTGTATCAAAATGCCCGTCTACACTGAAACCCTAATTCAGAATTGAGGGATAAATCTGACTTTTGCAATTCACGGCCGGTTCCTCTTTTAAATCTGCTTTAAAATGAACCAAACCTAAAGTAGTTCAGGGGTCAGTGCTACAAAAGTTACTAATTTTGACCAGTCAAAAAGGGAAGGAAAATAGACAAGACTATCCATAAACTTTTTATAATTTTTTATTTATAAGTAAAAACAAGAAAAAAAAATCACAAGAGTGTATATTTACAACAGAAAGTTGGAAGAAAGTTAAAACGACTTCATCTATTCTTGCACCTCCACACAGCCTCTTTGCACTCTGCCCAGGTCTGACCTAAAGTAAACAGTAAGTTTGCCTTATTCATTCAGCTATTTAAAGAGGGACATCAAAAGAAGAAAAGAAGGAGCCTTTATCAAAACCAAGGCCTAACTGTAAAATCAAAAGCACTAAATGCTTATTTGAAGGTGCAACTCAACCAGGCCTTTATAACACATCAATATGATGCAAAAAAATAGGTACAAATTAGTAAGACAGCAGCTCAGTATGAAAAAATAACAAATGTTAAAACAGACTTTTGTCTAAAAGAAATACCGTTCTCACTGAGAACTATTAAGAACACATTTTTGAACAGAGAAGGCTTTCATCGATTGTAATGCCAGCACCTTTTCTGTCTCTCATTCATTCAGCGAGTCATCTTTAAATGTAAAGCATGTGCAAAATGTCCGAGAAACGTGATTAATAGCTTGGTTTACCACCATCTGCTTCTGGAACATATTAAACATTTCAAATTTTATTATAAAAATCACAGAATTACTGATGGGAAGGGCAAGATCATTAGAATAAGTCGCTTCCTCTTGTGTGATATTTTGAGACAAGAACTCTGTGGTTATGTTTCTATATCTATCAGTAATTGCATGGATCCAGAAAAAAAAAACACCATGCAACTATTTATGCATGAGTTTTATTTAGTGTGGGGGTGGGGGAGTTCTCTGGCATCACACGGCGGGTCTGAGCTGTAGGAGGCCCTGGCAAAGCCCCTTTGATCAAAAGGAGTCTCCTATGGAGAAGGGAAAGGAAATAAGAGTAAATGTATGTAGGTGTTCAAAAACAAATAGTTCTTTTTTTCCATGTTCATGTACAAGAAAAAGAAAGTAGTAGCTGACCTGCACAGTCTCTAGAGAGAGAGTCCAGCCTCCGGATGAGTCTGTTGTTGCTGCAGCAGAAGTAGAGCTGTCGGGAGCAGAGTCCCTGGATTCATTCACTTCCAAGGTCGCTGGATGTGATGATGAAGACAGCTCAACTGCTGTGTTGCTTTCCTCCTCGATTGACGTTTCTTGTGAGCCCCCCAAAACAGAGGAAGAGTTTGATAGAGCTGGACCCGTCCCAGACATGTTACTGGGTGCTGGGCTGCACTCCCCAGAGGTGTTTGGCGGAGTGTGAGTATTCTTCTTCCTCCGAAGAGTTTCGATCCAGCTAGAGCTGTGTTTGGAGGCAAAATTGGCTAAGGCCAAGGAGGAAAGCCTCATGTTTTTTCCAGAGGTGATCAGCTCTCCAAAGCCTTCCTGGTGGGAGAAGGCGTAGCCTGACCTCCTTGAACCACCTCGGGCGCCAAGGCGGCCCTCAGAGACGCTGCCTGTGCCACGCCAGGCTCCTCCCATGCTGCGACCTCCAGGTTTACGCCTTTTCTGCCTCACCAATTGGGTATAACGCACCTAGAAATGGAAGATTAACATGTCTTTTAATTGTTGTGACATATACCATATCATCAAACTTAAAATATGTGGTGTTTAATATAGAGTATTTCATAAATTTTCTGTGCTGGTCTTTGGTTTTGCTTTCAGTTCCAGTTTTATTCAGTGGGGAATCCACATGCTGAACTCTGGATTTAGAAGTATTAGTCATTATCTCAGCGAAACTACAAACTTTGTTAGATTTTAAATTAAAGAGGAACTTCTTCTCATCACCTTGAAAAGTGGTTTTGCTTGGCCGACTGACGCCACCTCAGACTCAGCTTTAAGTCATCATTAATGGATACTGTTTAAGTCAATAATTCAGAGTGCATGAATGTTTTTTTTAACCAGCGGAATTAATAATTGCCTATACCCGCTTTAAAACTAACATTCTGGGAGGACAATAGCACATCCTGTAATGTGGATAAAAACAATTTTGTACATTTTATGCTTTCTTACCGTGTCTGACAGCTGAGGCTTGAGGTCCAGCTTGAGGAAGCGGAATGCCAAAACTGGAACTACGCATATTGCAGTTGCTAGTGCAATAGTTAACCACACAACTGGCTGCAATAGTGTGTTCTGCGCACTACCTGCATTTAGAAAAAAAAATGTACAGAGACAAATATGAGCATGCATCTTTCAAATTTAGTGCATGTTCAATAAAATCACTAGTGGGAATGATTCTTCAAGAAATGTATTTCTTAAAATCCTAAGTGGTGCTGTTTTATGAATAAACACCATATATAAAGACACAATTTAACACGTATTAGATGATGCATATCCAAAAAACATAAATAGTAATTTCCCCTGAGAGGAAAACAAGTAGCTGTTTAATTAGAGTGCTTTACAAATGCATTTTGGAAAGTAACAACTACAAGCATCAGTGTATTTCATTGGGATTCTCTGTGATAAACCAAAAGAAAGTGGTGCCATGTGCCAACCTGACTGGTGTATATTGGAAAATTATATGCATTGGCTGTAATAAATTAAAATCTGGCTCCAATTGCACAGACTTTTAAATACTAGTAAAGACAACATGCACTAGCAGGCACCCCAATAAGCTGACTGCTGCTTATGTGTTTTTTAGGATAATTATTTGAATTTGCACTTCCTTTGTTGTGTACACCCAACAATTGATTTTCATTAATGCAAATTGACCTAGATTTTTGTAATTTCTTTACAGAAAAGACTCTAAACTCTAAACTACCATATCTTTTAACTTTTGAATTCAGGTTATATCTTACAGCCTTTTTTCTTCCCCTTTTTTTATCTCTTGTCCAATAATAGAAAAGATTTACTTGTGTAAAATAAGAGAACTCTTCACGATGTTCTCATTTTTTATACTGCTTTGTTTTAAAGTCCTAATGAAACCGAGGGAAGAGAAAAAAAACTATCTTCAATCAGCTTTACTTCCCTGCACTGAGGTCAATAGGGTGTGGGTCCACATCGTTATATAAAGGCAGCTGTTTTTTGAAGGCCTCAGACATTTTTTTTACTAAATTAAATTCAGTTCAGTTTACTTATATAGCACCAATTCACAACATGTCATCTCAATGCACTTTGCAGAGACAATTAAACCAGATCATACAGTCAGAG